TATGTGAAATAACAGAATGAGAGACAACACCTGATATGTGACATAACAGAATGAGAGACAACACCTGATATGTGACATAACAGAGTGAGAGACAACACCTGATATGTGAAATAACAGAGTGAGAGACAACACCTGATATGTGAAATAACAGAGGGAGAGACAACACCTGATATGTGACATAACAGAGTGAGAGACAACACCTGATATGTGACATAACAGAGTGAGAGACAACACCTGATATGTGAAATAACAGAGTGAGAGACAACACCTGATATGTGAAATAACAGAGTGAGACACAACACCTGATATGTGAAATAACAGAGGGAGAGACAACACCTGATATGTGAAATAACAGAGGGAGAGACAACACCTGATATGTGAAATAACAGAGGGAGAGACAACACCTGATATGTGACATAACAGAATGAGAGACAACACCTGATATGTGACATAACAGAGTGAGAGACAACACCTGATATGTGAAATAACAGAGGGAGAGACAACACCTGATATGTGACATAACAGAATGAGAGACAACACCTGATATGTGACATAACAGAGTGAGAGACAACACCTGATATGTGAAATAACAGAGTAACACACAACACCTGATATGTGAAATAACAGAGTAACAGACAACACCTGATATGTGAAATAACAGAGGGAGAGACAACACCTGATATGTGAAATAACAGAGGGAGAGACAACACCTGATATGTGAAATAACAGAGGGAGAGACAACACCTGATATGTGACATAACAGAGTGAGAGACAACACCTGATATGTGACATAACAGAGTGAGAGACAACACCTGATATGTGAAATAACAGAGGGAGAGACAACACCTGATATGTGACATAACAGAGTGAGAGACAACACCTGATATGTGACATAACAGAGTGAGAGACAACACCTGATATGTGAAATAACAGAGGGAGAGACAACACCTGATATGTGACATAACAGAGGGAGAGACAACACCTGATATGTGACATAACAGAATGAGAGACAACACCTGAGATGTGACATAACAGAGTGAGAGACAACACCTGATATGTGAAATAACAGAATGAGAGACAACACCTGATATGTGACATAACAGAATGAGAGACAACACCTGATATGTGACATAACAGAGTGAGAGACAACACCTGATATGTGAAATAACAGAGGGAGAGACAACACCTGATATGTGACATAACAGAGTGAGAGACAACACCTGATATGTGACATAACAGAGTGAGAGACAACACCTGATATGTGAAATAACAGAGGGAGAGACAACACCTGATATGTGACATAACAGAGGGAGAGACAACACCTGATATGTGACATAACAGAGTGAGAGACAACACCTTATATGTGACATAACAGAGTGAGAGGCAACACCTGGTATGTGACATAACAGAGGGAGAGACAACACCTGATATGTGACATAACAGAATGAGAGACAACACCTTATATGTGACATAACAGAATGAGAGACAACACCTGATATGTGACATAACAGAGGGAGAGACAACACCTGATATGTGACATAACAGAGGGAGAGACAACACCTGATATGTGACATAACAGAATGAGAGACAACACCTGAGATGTGACATAACAGAGTGAGAGACAACACCTGATATGTGAAATAACAGAATGAGAGACAACACCTGATATGTGACATAACAGAATGAGAGACAACACCTGATATGTGACATAACAGAGTGAGAGACAACACCTGATATGTGAAATAACAGAGGGAGAGACAACACCTGATATGTGACATAACAGAGTGAGAGACAACACCTGATATGTGACATAACAGAGTGAGAGACAACACCTGATATGTGAAATAACAGAGGGAGAGACAACACCTGATATGTGACATAACAGAGGGAGAGACAACACCTGATATGTGACATAACAGAGTGAGAGACAACACCTTATATGTGACATAACAGAGTGAGAGGCAACACCTGGTATGTGACATAACAGAGGGAGAGACAACACCTGATATGTGACATAACAGAATGAGAGACAACACCTTATATGTGACATAACAGAATGAGAGACAACACCTGATATGTGACATAACAGAGTGAGAGACAACACCTGATATGTGAAATAACAGAATGAGAGACAACACCTGATATGTGACATAACAGAATGAGAGACAACACCTGATATGTGACATAACAGAGTGAGAGACAACACCTGATATGTGAAATAACAGAGGGAGAGACAACACCTGATATGTGACATAACAGAATGAGAGACAACACCTGATATGTGACATAACAGAGGGAGAGACAACACCTGATATGTAACATAACAGAGTGAGAGACAACACCTTATATGTGACATAACAGAGTGAGAGGCAACACCTGGTATGTGACATAACAGAATGAGAGACAACACCTGATATGTGACATAACAGAATGAGAGACAAAACCTGATATGTGACATAACAGAATGAGAGACAACACCTGATATGTGAAAAAACAGAGTGGGACACAACACCTGATATGTGAAAAAACAGAGTGAGACACAACACCTGATATGTAACATAACAGAATGAGAGACAACACCTGATATGTGACATAACAGAGTGAGAGACAACACCTGATATGTGACATAACAGAGTGAGAGACAACACCTGATATGTGAAGTAACAGAATGAGAGACAACACCTGATATGTGACATAACGGAATGAGAGACAACACCTGATATGTGACAAAACAGAGTGAGAGACAACACCTGAGATGTGACATAACAGAGTGAGAGACAACACCTGAGATGTGACATAACGGAATGAGAGACAACACCTGATATGTAACATAACAGAATGAGAGACAACACCTGATATGTGACATAACGGAATGAGAGACAACACCTGATATGTGACAAAACAGAGTGAGAGACAACACCTGAGATGTGACATAACAGAGTGAGAGACAACACCTGAGATGTGACATAACGGAATGAGAGACAACACCTGATATGTAACATAACAGAATGAGAGACAACACCTGATATGTGACATAACGGAATGAGAGACAACACCTGATATGTGACAAAACAGAGTGAGAGACAACACCTGAGATGTGACATAACAGAGTGAGAGACAACACCTGAGATGTGACATAACAGAGTGAGAGACAACACCTGATATGTGAAATAACAGAGTGAGAGACAACACCTGATATGTGAAATAACAGAGTGAGAGACAACACCTGATATGTGAAATAACAGAGTGAGAGACAACACCTGATATGTGACATAACAGAGTGGGAGACAACACCTGATATGTGACATAACAGAATGAGAGACAACACCTGATATGTGAAATAACAGAGTGAGAGACAACACCTGATATGTGACATAACGGAATGAGAGACAACACCTGATATGTGACAAAACAGAGGGAGAGACAACACCTGATATGTGACATAACAGAGTGAGAGACAACACCTGATATGTGAAATAACAGAGTAAGAGACAACACCTGATTAGTGACATAATAGAGGGAGAGACACCTGCTATGTGACATAATAAAGTGCGGGACCCCTGATATGTGACATAAAAGAGTGAGAGACACCTGATATATGACATAATGAATGAAACAAGTGAAATCAACATTAAAATTTCAAATAGTTTTGGATAGGAACGGTTATTAGTGGACGAAAAACAAAAACACAGCCATATCCTGAAGCTGAAACGATTGAAATTGAAACTCTCACATAGAAATCATTCGTACAAAATTGCGGGTAAAGTCTCTTTGCTACTCAACACTCAATAGCTGTCACTGCCTGCAACATCGTAGGGTTAGAAAATCCAATGAGCATCACAGCAGTACAGCAGTATTGACATTTATGTCACCCAGACAGGTCACAGTGGCCGTTTTGAATAAATTGAATGAGTAGAATATTGCAGGTGAGGTGAAATGGGGTTTAACGTCGCGTCCAAGATTATTGCACTTATATAGCGACGTGCATGGACGTGTGTGTGATTGTGTGGCTGCTTGTACTAGTCCGGACTGATGCCGATTTATAGTGCTAGCTCACTGAGATACCATGCCGCAGTTAACATGAATACCCCACTCAGACACAGTATACTGACTCCGAGCCGACCACTCCTTGTTTTAGCCCCTTAATGCCGAGCGCCAGACAGGGAAACAACCAGTACTATCTTTAAACGTCTTTTGGTATGACGCGGCCGGGGATCGAACCCCAGACCTTCCGCTCTCCGGGCGGACGCTCTACCATTAGACCACGGAGGCGGTCGTAGAATATTGAAATTATCATTGACTTTATATTACTAAATCAGAGTGTGGCCCTGCCGTCGAAGAGGCTGTAATTCGCTGTGCAGAGTTGCGTCCCTTAAGCACGCCAGAGTTCTATGATTGTAGGTTCGAATCCCGGTTCGCCCCGAATATGTTTCTAGGTTTGTCAGCACCATACCCGTGATCGTGGGTTTCACCAAAATGCTAAACGTTTTAAAACTGCATCACTTCGGGCTTCCCTCCCACATTAAACTGACACGCCGTGAAATAACTGTTCAAAGCGGCGTTAAACCACACTGACTGACTCACTCATATTTCGGAAATGTCGGCATGTACCAAGGTATCTTTTCTGTAAAAGAGATGACTGATACATGACGCCAGTCTTGTCAATCGGGTTCATTCAGAATTGTGTACCAGAATCAAGCAAATTTCAAGAGGTTCGAGAGAAGATTTTGTCTATATGTAAGCGTTCTACATATCAACATTATGTTGACACAACATGCGTATGTCCACGCTAAAAAGACAAAATGTAAGAACAAATCAAAGTAAAGTAAATTGCGGAAACTAAAGCCAAACATTAAGAGGAACGTGATTAGGCTGTTCGTGTCTTTGATTATGTGCAAGGTGAATCTAGCTCCGCGTTTATCTTGAATCGGGAAATAATTGACGTCAATCTGATCTAGATGTAATGGATGCGAGCATTAGCCCTGGAACTCGGGACTTACCGTCGATGGAGTCACAGAGTTGTTGTTGCCATCGTCGTGATTGAGCCGGAGTTTGCGATGACCGACCGTTCGCCGGCGAGTCTGTGGTGTCCTATGCCTCAGCAAGTGGCAAGTGAAAAGTGGGTGACCTCTAGATGTGATTGAGAAGCTGACGGGCAGCGATGGAGAAAGTTGTAGTCCAGATCGATGCCGAACCACCCTTTCCCTGGCTCCCAGCGCTCCTCTCAGTGCTAGTAATTACCACCAGTCTTGACGAAGAGACGTCGCCAGCTGCACGGCTCCGTATTGGAGCTCCTGATATTGCCCTTGCTCTGACGCGGGCTCAACCGTATCGACCGTACCATTCCAATAAACTCACGACAAAGTTGTCGTCCAAAAATTGACGACTAGGGGTTTAAAGAATGGGTTGCAATGTCAATTAGGCGAGAAGAATTGACGTGGTTCGATTAAATAGTTGTTAATAATGATAGCTCGGATGCTGGGGCTGTCAGACTGCGGTGAGGTATGCACACTCTGGCGTCTTGGTTGCGGGCTGGTCGTATAATGACATCATGTGTCACAACATCGGTGGCACCATGGATTGGAGATGCGTGGGTGGCGCGGAATAAGTACGTGTGTGGTAGTGTGTGGTGGTGGGGGTGTGGTGGGGGTGTGGTGGGGGTGTAGTGGACCGGGTCTGTGGGTGGGCTGTTGGGGATGGGATGGTTCTCAGGATGGTTGATTGTTTGGTGATGGTGATGGTTGTGAGGATGGGTAATGATGGGTGATGGGTTCTTTGGAACTTGATGGTTGATGATGGGTTTTTCGGATGTTTTATTGGTGGTAAGGGCGGGTGAAGATTTATATGATGGATGAAGGGAGGATGGGTAATTGGTAAAGAAGATGGCCTTGCGGTAATGATGGCATATTATGAACATAGTTGATAGATTGTGGAATGGCTGGCTGGTTGTGGAGGTGGATGATGGGTTGTAAAGACGGGGGATGGGCTGTGAAGACAGGGGATGGGATGTGAAGACGGGGGATGAGTTATGAAGGCGGGTGATGGGTTGTGAAGGCGGGGGATGGGTTGTGAAGACGGGGGATGGGCTGTGAAGACGGGGGATGGGTTGTGAAGACGGGGGATGGGTTGTGAAGACGGGGGATGGGTTGTGAAGACGGGGGATGGGCTGTGAAGACGGGGGATGGGTTGTGAAGACGGGGGATGGGTTGTGAAGACGGGGGATGGGCTGTGAAGACGGAAGATGGGCTGTGAAGACGGGGGATGAGTTGTAAAGGGGGGATGAGTTGTGAAGACGGGGGATTGGTTGTGAAGGCGGGGGATGGGTTGTGAAGACGGGGGATGAGTTGTGAAGACGGGAGATGGGTTGTGAAGACGGGGGATGGGTTGTGACGGCGGGGGATGGGTTGTGAAGACGGGGGATGAGTTGTGAAGACGGGGGATGGGTTGTGAAGACGGGGGATGAGTTGTTGAGACAGAGGATGGTATGTGATGCGGGGGATGAGTTGTGGAGACAGAGGATGGGTCGTGAAGACGGAGGATGGGCTGTGAAGACGGAGGGTAGGGTGTGAAGACGGGGGATAGGTTGTGAAGGCGGGGACAGGTTGTGAAGACAGGGGATGGGTTGTGGAGACGGGCGATAGGTTGTGAAGACGGGGGTGGGTTGTGGAGACGGGGGATAGGTTGTGAAGACGGGGGATGAGTTGTGGAGATAGAGGATGGGTTAAGAAGACTGAGGATAAGTCGTGAAGACGGGGAATAGGTTGTGAAGGCGGGGCTAGGTTGTGAAGACGGGGGATGGGTTGTGAAGACGGGCGATAGGTTGTGAAGACGGGGGGTGGGTTGTGAAGACGGGGGTGAATTGTGGAGACGGGGGATAGGTTGTGAAGACGGGGGATAGGTTGTGAAGGCGGGGGATAGGTTGTGAAGACGGGGGATAGGTTGTGAAGACGGGGGATGAGTTGTTGAGACAGAGGATGGGATGTGAAGGCGGGGGATGAGTTGTTGAGACAGAGGATGGGTTGTGAAGGCGGTGGATGAGTTGTTGAGACAGAGGATGGGTTGTGAAGACAGGGGATGAGTTGTTGAGACAGAGGATGGGTTGTGAAGACGGGGGATGAGTTGTTGAGACAGAGGATGGGTTGTGAAGGCGGGGGATGAGTTGTGGAGACAGAGGATGGGTTGTGAAGGCGGGGGATGAGTTGTTGAGACAGAGGATGGGTTGTGAAGACGGGGGATGAGTTGTTGAGACAGATGAGTTGTTGAGACAGAGGATGGGTTGTGAAGGCGGGGGATGAGTTGTGGAGACAGAGGATGGGATGTGAAGGCGGGGGATGAGTTGTGGAGACAGAGGATGGGTTGTTGAGACAGAGGATGGGTTGTGAAGGCGGGGGATGAGTTGTTGAGACAGAGGATGGGTTGTGAAGACGGGGGATGAGTTGTTGAGACAGAGGATGGGTTGTTGAGACAGAGGATGGGTTGTGAAGGCGGGGGATGAGTTGTTGAGACAGAGGATGGGTTGTGAAGGCGGGGGATGAGTTGTTGGGACAGAGGATGGGTTGTGAAGACGGGGGATGAGTTGTTGAGACAGAGGATGGGTTGTTGAGACAGAGGATGGGTTGTGAAGGCGGGGGATGAGTTGTTGAGACAGAGGATGGGTTGTGAAGGCGGGGGATGAGTTGTTGGGACAGAGGATGGGTTGTGAAGACGGGGGATGAGTTGTTGAGACAGAGGATGGGTTGTGAAGGCGGGGGATGAGTTGTGGAGACAGAGGATGGGTTGTTGAGACAGAGGATGGGATGTGAAGGCGGGGGATAAGTTGTGGAGACAGAGGATGGGTTGTTGAGACAGAGGATCGGTTGTGAAGGCGGGGGATGAGTTGTGGAGACAGAGGATGGGATGTGAAGGCGGGGGATGAGTTGTGGAGACAGAGGATGGGTTGTGAAGATCGATAATGTGTTGTGCGGATTGAACATAGGTTGTAGAAATGGGTGACAGTTCGATGCAAAAACTGGCCGTGTAAATCTAAGGTACGAGGTAACCTGGGATAAATTTAACATCGTGCAAGCAATTTAATGTACCCGAAGACTTCAGTTTGTAGAAATCATAGATTTATTGGAGACAAAACTGTAAATTTCTGGACAGTTGAAGAAGCGAAACATCCGACGATTACACAAGAAGTACAAATACTGCACTGTGCCTCCACGCACTGGGAACAGCTGGGGCAGCTCGAGACTGTGGTGACGCCACACGGCATATTCCGATATGGAGATGTCAACCTTCTCCGCCACGACAGTGTCTTCGACGCCTGCACCGCTGTAACGAGTTACGACCGCTTCTACACCGGCGCCGCTTCCTGGTATCAGAGCCACGACCGTGAACTCTCCTTCTCCCGCGCTCCCTCCGCCGCTTCCTACCGTCACGCCACTTCCGCTTATGTCGCTTCCGGCGCCGACAGGAATCTGCAATGGTGGAACTCTGGGTCAGCGGAACATATGTCAGGATATGACCACTAGTCAGCGGGACATATGTCTGTATATGAGCACTAGTCAGCGGGACATATGTCAGGATATGTCCACTAGTCAGCGGGACATATGTCAGTATATGAGCACTAGTCAGCGGGACATATGTCAGTATATGAGCCCTAGTCAGCGGGACATATGTCAGTATATGAGCACTAGTCAGCGGGACATATGTCAGGATATGACCACTAGTCAGCGGGACATATGTCAGTATATGAACAATAGTCAGCGGGACATATGTCAGTATATTGGCATTAGTCAGCGAGACAAATGTCAGTAAATAAGCACTAGTCAGCGGAACATATGTCAGTATATGGGCACTAGTCAGCAGGACATATGTCAGTATATGAGAACTAGTCAGCGGGACATATGTCAGTATATGAGCACTAGTCAGCGGGACATATGTCAGTATATGAGCACTAGTCAGCGGGACATATGTCAGTATATGAGCACTAGTCAGCGGGACATATGTCAGTATATGAGCACTAGTCAGCGGGACATATGTCAGTATATGAGCACTAGTCAGCGGGACATATGTCAGTATATGAGCACTAGTCAGCGGGACATATGTCAGGATATGACCACTAGTCAGCGGGACATATGTCAGTATATGAACACTAGTCAGCGGGACATATGTCAGTATATGGGCATAAGTCAGCGAGATAAATGTAAGTAAATAAGCAATAGTCAGCGGGACATATGTCAGTATATGGGCACTAGTCAGCAGGACATATGTCAGTATATGAGGACTAGTCAGCGGGACATATGTCAGTATATGAGCACTAGTCAGGGGGACATATGCCAGTATATGAGCACTAGTCAGCGGGCATATGTCAGTATGTGAGCACTAGTCAGCGGGACATATGTCAGTATATGAGCACTAGTCAGCGGGACATATATCAGTATATGAGCACTAGTCAGCGGGACATATGTCAGTATGTGAGCACTAGTCAGCGGGACATATGTCAGTATATGAGCACTAGTCAGCGGGACATATGTCAGTATATGAGCACTAGTCAGCGGGACATATGTCAGGATATGACCACTAGTCAGCGGGACATATGTCAGTATATGAACACTAGTCAGCGGGACAAATGTCAGTATATGGGCATAAGTCAGCGAGACAAATGTCAGAAAATAAGCACTAGTCAGCGGGACAAATGTCAGTATATGGGCACTACTCAGCAGGACATATGTCAGTATATGAGGACTAGTCAGCGGGACATATGTCAGTATATGAGCACTAGTCAGGGGGACATATGTCAGTATATGAGCACTAGTCAGCGGGCATATGTCAGTATGTGAGCACTAGTCAGCGGGACATATGTCAGTATATGAGCACTAGTCAGCGGGACATATATCAGTATATGAGCACTAGTCAGCGGGACATATGTCAGTATGTGAGCACTAGTAAGCGGGACATATGTCAGTATATGAGCACTAGTCAGCGGGACATATGTCAGTATATGAGCACTAGTCAGCGGGACATATGTCAGGATATGACCACTAGTCAGCAGGACATATGTCAGTATATGAACACTAGTCAGCGGGACATATGTCAGTATATGGGCATTAGTCAGCGAGACAAATGTCAGTAAATAAGCACTAGTCAGCGGGACATATGTCAGTATATGGGCACTAGTCAGCGGGACATATGTCAGTATGTGAGCACTAGTCAGCGGGACATACGTCAGTATATGAGCACTAGTCAGCGGGACATATGTGAGTATATGAGCACTAGTCAGCGGGACATATGTCAGTATGTGAGCACTAGTCAGCGGGACATATGTCAGTATATGAGCACTAGTCAGCGGGACATATATCAGTATATGAGCACTAGTCGGCGGGACATATGTCAGTATATGAGCACTAGTCAGCGGGACATATGTCAGGGTATGACCACTAGTCAGCAGGACATATGTCAGTATATGAGCGCTAGTCAGCGGGACATATGTCAGAATGTGAGCACTAGTCAGCGGGACATATGTCAGTATATGAGCACTAGTCAGCGGGACATATGTCAGTATATGAGCACTAGTCAGCGGGACATATATCAGTATATGAGCACTAGTCAGCGGGACATATGTCAGTATGTGAGCACTAGTAAGCGGGACATATGTCAGTATATGAGCACTAGTCAGCGGGACATATGTCAGTATATGAGCACTAGTCAGCGGGACATATGTCAGGATATGACCACTAGTCAGCGGGACATATGTCAGTATATGAACACTAGTCAGCGGGACATATGTCAGTATATGGGCATTAGTCAGCGAGACAAATGTCAGTAAATAAGCACTAGTCAGCGGGACATATGTCAGTATATGGGCACTAGTCAGCGGGACATATGTCAGTATATGAGGACTAGTCAGCGGGACATATGTCAGTATATGAGCACTAGTCAGCGGGACATATGTGAGTATATGAGCACTAGTCAGCGGGACATATGTCAGTATGTGAGCACTAGTCAGGGGGACATATGTCAGTATATGAGCACTAGTCAGCGGGACATATATCAGTATATGAGCACTAGTCGGCGGGACATATGTCAGTATATGAGCACTAGTCAGCGGGACATATGTCAGGATATGACCACTAGTCAGCAGGACATATGTCAGTATATGAGCGCTAGTCAGCGGGACATATGTCAGTATGTGAGCACTAGTCAGCGGGACATATGTCAGTATATGAGCCCAAGTCAGCAGGACATATGTCAGCATGTGAGCCCTAGTCAGCGGGACACATGTCAGTATATCAGCGTCAGCGGGACATATGTCAGTATATCAGCGCTAGTCAGCGGGACATATGTCAGTATATCAGCGTCAGCGGGACATATGTCAGTATATGAGGACTAGTCAGCGGGACATATGTCAGTATATCAGCGCTAGTCAGCGGGACACATGTCAGTATATCAGCGTCAGCGGGACATATGTCAGTATATGAGCACTAGTCAGCGGGACATATGTCAGTATATGAGTCAGCGGGACATTCATCCATATATCAGTACTAATCAGCGGGACATATATCAGTATATCAGTACTACCGGGGCATATGTTGAGGATTCATCACGAGTGTTTTTTTTCAATATGGGAAATACCAACCGAGTCTGACTTAATCTGTATTAGACAAGTTTGGTTTGATTTGGTTTGTTTGTTGCTTTACGCCGCACTCAGCAATATTCCAGCTATATGACGGCTATATGGCGGCGGTCTGTAAATAATCGAGTCTGGACCAGACGATTCAGTGGAACTTGTGAAACGTGAAACAGATGCCGTATGACTGGAACTTGACTTGGAGGTATTAGTAGATTAATCGTTATTAGACAGTGACCTAACCAAACACCATGCTGACACCACACGCAAAATGGATAATTTGAGATGGCTGACTGTTGCCTCCTGGTGGTTTGAACATCACACGTACCGTACACTGGCCGTTACTGTGAGACTCGGGAGTTTCAGGAACAAATCAAGCTGGTGTGTTACTGTGTGCAATGCGTTTAATGGAATGCTTCCTGAAACTCTTTTGGATGTTTGTTTGTGCTGAGCAGTATTGATGTGTCAGTAATTATATATTCAAAGAATAGTTGTTCTTGTAACAGGCATCTGTGTGTTTTGATTTGATGGAACATTGTTTCCGGCAGTAATATGCTTACTTATATCATTGGGTATGACATTGGGTTATGTTGACTGATGTGGTCACTATTTGACGATGTTGACTAATGTGGTCACTATTTGACGATGTTGACTGATGTGGTTACTATTAGACGATGTTGACTGATGTGGTCACTATTTGATATTGTTGACTGAGATGGTCACTAGTTGACGATGTTGACTGATGTGGTCATTATTAGATGATGTTGACCTGCCTTTGCGTGTGTTTGTGACGGGTTCCTCCGGTGGGGCAAGATAAGCTCATCTTTGATAGTGATCCATAAACAAATGGAGATTATATATTAGTAGTCGGTATCGTACCGAGGACTTTTTAGCATAGATTTCTTATGATCATTGACATATGTATATTTTTCGTCGCTTTTATTTGCATTCCCAGTTTTATCTGAGTTTCTTCTGTTATTCCTTAGGGCGTTGGGATATCTAGTGGTTAAATCGTTCGCTCGTCACGCTGAAGACCCGGGTTCGATTCCCCATATGGGTACAATGTGTGAAGCCCATTTCTGGTGTCCCTTGCCGTGATATTGCTGGAATATTGATAAAAGCAGCGTAAAATCCAACTCACTCACTCACTGACTGACTGATATTCCTTATGTACAGATGGTATAAAGATATCTACATCTTGGGGGTAGTTTCGTATTAGAATACAAGAAGGTGACTAAGGGGGGCTAACCTCTGCAAGCTGCGCGCGCACCTTGGCATCCGCGTCGCTCTCGAAGAGGGGGACACGCTGTTCCCCCATTGGGTGATGGAGACTCTAGGATGCTCCTGGACCGGACTCGGAAGCGCCGTCGGCGTCCGCATCTACGTGGTCTGCATGCGCTCCACGCTGTCCACGGCCCTACGAGACAGTCCACTGTTGGAGGAAAGGACATACAATGATGTAGTGTGAGTGAGTGAGTGCGTGAGTGAGTGAGTGAGTGAGTGAGTGAGTGAGTGAGTGAGTGAGTGAGTAAGATTTATAGTCGCATCGGCAAAATTTGACCCACAATATGATAAAGGAGACACAAAACAACATGAGCATGTGAAAACGACTCCCTCGCGTGTTAAGACTGATAGTAAACACTTCATGTACATATAGTGTGCTACATATGTTTTATCGCCGTAATGCCGAGCCCCAGGCAAAATGACAGCAAGTGCCACCTTTTCACGTCTTGACACGGCCAGAGGATCGCACTACCGACATTCAGCTATCCTGCCAAACGCACTATCCACAACACGGCATCTTCACGGGGCAGGGGAGTTAACTGACTATAAAAGTCCAGTTTCCACCCTTGCCGAACTAGGCTAGAATTATAGAGTTGTATTTTGGCTGGACTAACGAGTCAATGCATAGTGCAATCAACATCGCTTAACAAAATTGACATCCGGTTCGTAAAGTGCCGTGCAGACTTCAGTCGATTGCAGCATTTGCAAAGCATATGTACCGCCAAGTCGGCGTCAACAGATATTTTCCCAATAGTTGTTTGTAATCAAGGTGCTCATGTGATTGATGCACTTCGTGAAGTAAGACCTGTTATATCACAATATATAAATTGATTACCGATCAGATCGTCTTGACTGGGCGCCGCCATTTTGTTTGACGCAAATGCAAGTGATATGAGAGGCGGAATTTGTATGGTCAATAGGAGGGGCATAGAAGGGACATAACTCGATGCCAAGAAATTCCAGCCGAGTTCGGCAAGGCTGGACACAGCCAGTGAACTCCCTCGGTTTGAACCGATAGGGAACATTAATGTGCACTGACTGACTGACTGACTCACCTCTACTTCTACACTCAGACGAGTAGTTGGCGAGGTGCAGGCCGGTGGGGCAGGAGTCGATGCAGTCGCCCCTGTGGGCTATGCGTGGGCGGTAACATCGCGTGCAGTACTGGCGTGTGAAGCAGGCCCGGCAGAAACTCACTTGACATTCTGAGAAAACAAAATCATACCCAGCAAAGTCCATCTCAAGTCCGTATTCTATAACTGACCGTTATACGAGTAGAAATACAATAGATAGACACCAGTTTCAGGCTGACAGGTGGACTTTCAGACACACACAGGTGGACCTCCGGGTACATACAGGTGGACCTTAAGATACACACAGGCGGACCTTCAGATACATACAGATCGATCTTCAGATACATACAGGTGGACCTCCGGGTACATACAGATACACACAGGTTGACCTTCAGATACATACAGATCGATCTTCAGATACATACAGGTTGACCTCACGTCAAGGTGGACCTTCAAATACATACAGATGGACCTTCAGATACATGCAGGTGGACTTTCAGATACATACAGGTGGACCTCACATCCAGGCGGACCTTCAGATACATACAGATGGACCTTCAGATACATGCAGGTGGACCTTAAGATACACACAGGTGGACCTTCAGATACATACAGACAGACCTTCAGACACATACAGGTGGTTTCAAAGGTATTCTGGTACATGTAAGTTAATTCACAGGTACATATAGATTAAGTTACAGGTACATACAGGTTGATTTACAGGTACATTCAGACCTCAAGGCAGATATAGGTTAGCTTGAAATTATCTCCAGGTAGGTTTCCACTGATTCTCCTACCAGCAAGAGGCAACTTACTGACGCATCTGTTGTGAAAGTGTTGGCGGACTCCGAAGTACCCTGGAGGACAGCTGGGCGTGCACATCCCCGTCTGGCGCATGTTCCGGCGGTACAGGAACAGGAAGTAACGTCTCTCGCATGTCACACAGCCGTTGACAGCGGAACACGACGTGCATCCGCGAGGACACATCGGATAGGGTCCGACCACAGCTGAAACACACACAGATCATCAGGATACATCTCCAAGCTCCTACCAAATACCAACTGATATTCAATAACGATTTTCTTTGTTGCAATAGGGGCATGAATGGCCTAGTCGTCTAAAGGTGCTGTAATTCGCTGTGCAGAGTTGCGTCCCTTGGACGCCAGAAACCTATGATAATGGGTTCGAATCCCGATTTGCCCTGATCATGTTTCTAGGTTTGTCAGCACCATACCCATGCTCGTGGGTTTCACCGAAGTGGTAAACATCTGAGACCTACACCACTTCGGTCTTTCCTCCCACTTAAGCTGACACTGGAATACTGTTAAAAGCGGCGTTAAACCCAACTCACTCACTCATCTTGTAAAAATGTGACAAAAGAGTTATCTGTACACGAAACAGAGATTTCTTAATTAACAGTTTCATAGAGACCATTTTAAATATATACTCTTTTTGGTGGTCAGTTGTCGGTTTTATAGTCAAAACATGAAATGGCATACAGTAAACTACAGTAATGACGAACTCAAAGTGACTACTAATTAGTTCTTTATAACTGTAGTTTGTTATAAGCATTTCGACTGTCAGACATCTTGGATCAAGTCACGTTTCCTCACAAATATGCTCGTTCGTTATATTCATCAATTTTATGTGACAGGGTAACGACAAGTACCATATTTTAACGTCTTTTGGTATGACGCGACCGGGGATCGAACCCCCGATCTTCCGTTCTACGGGCGGACGCTCTACCACTAGACCACGGACCAATATAAACTTGCGTAACTGGTTTTCGTCTGTCTTCAGTTTGTTCATCTTTGAACTAATTCCGCCCTTTAGATTTCTTAAGCTCTTCTTAATGCTTGATTCAAGACGATTCTGCTTCAAAGATATTGATCATGTCACGATGGAACCTTTTTTTCAAATGTACGTAAAAATCCAAATTTCATTATACATATTGTTTTCAACCGCTTAAAGATACCACCCAACTTTATTTTGACGATTATCAAAATGACCTCAATTTTACCCATGAGCAAAAGGGTTGGGAAATCAATTGCATATTTAGTGAAGTCAGCATTATGTCTTTTAGGACGGAAACGGGCTTTCGATTAAACGCTTTGATCGACGGAAAAACAACATTTGTGATTGATTCATTTCTCTGATTCTTTTTGTTCCAAAATGTCTTCATTTTGTATTAATCTTTATTCGAATGATGACATTTCTTCAAATTTGTTTTTCGTTTGGATTGAAGGCAAGCTTCAATTAATATATGAAATAAGTTCAAATTGGAAATATATTTCTCAAGCCTAAATTAATAGTCTTTGTGCTAATTGGTACAGAGGAGAAAATGATAACGAAGAGGTTATATCCCATTAGTTAGACGTCCCATTAGTTAGACGTCCCAATTGTTAGACATGTTTATTTCGGCAAAGAGGGAATATACCTACAGGTGTAATGGATCAGTCCTAATTAGATTAAAGTACTGAGTAGGGATAGGGGACTCACAGTTTAGGGAGTATATATGTTATAATTTCGTTTAATTAACCTAAATTACCTTACTCTATGCACACGTTCAATAGGCATGAGATTAACTATGTAAACTATGGAGTAGCTTAATTGTCTTAATGTATGATCAATTGAAGGAGTTGAGTTTGAGATAAATAAACTGTAAAAGTTATTAAATGTAAAGTGTCACAAAGTGTTGTTACAAACTGTATAAAATTTATCAAATGTAAAGTGTCATTAAATGTTAAGCATAATATTAAAGTATCTATTTAAAGCTGCTTTGCTTTGTTTGTCAGATCTTATCTGGACTATTCCATTTTAAAGTCTGAGGTAACAAGCACAAGGATTAGTGTGCACTCAACCGTTTAAAGTGTTGTTATAAGCTGTCTAACTATTGGGACGTCTAACTAATGGGAGGACACCAACGAGGAACTATAAAACGTCAAGGCCGGTCTTGATTATCCTCCAAAACAGATTCCACGGGGCGTAAAAGACGGTAGGGTGGATAACCCAAATCAGTGATGACACCAGGTGTTCACGAATGATGTTGAGGTTATATTCTTTTAATCTGCACATAATGTTTTCAAATATACACCTGGACTAAGCACCACTCTTATACTTTCAAATGTCCGGGACTTTCCTGTATCAGTTGATAATATATCTACATATGACATTGGTCTCATTTTGAAAAATATGTAAGTTGCGACTAGTATCTGCAGAGACATTGTGTGTTTCTCCGGGAGGTCGAAGGTACAGGGTCGTATGATGCTAAGACGCTTAAGCACAGGAAGCTTTTGAAATGGTAGCCAAATAATTACCCATTGCAATCATATTATGTCATATCACATAATAATGCATTTTACCCGAAATCATTTGGTACTTGATACACACACTGTATTTACGATGAATGATAATTTAACCATTTTAAACTCGGGACTTTTGGCAAGAACCAACCAAAGACTACCTCCTTAAGTGTATTAATGCCAAAATGAATGTCGTATGTAACTTTCAAACTATTGCGAGTATTATTTCAGGTTTTATATTTCAATATCAGTTTGTCACTTGCAAATGTGTTCCATCAGAAAGTTAATACATTATACGGTTTACATATATGGCTATTTGATGTGAAATAATATAGGAGTAATGCTTAACTTTTATTCACAGTATCACATTTACATTTTCGGAACATAACTGGTTGAATATAGTAATAAGTTTATTATTTATCATATAGCTTTTATTCCATTTATGTATAACATATAATATAATAATTTCTCTTTGAAGTGCCTCAATGAATCCCTATAGAATCCGTGTGGGGTTTGTGGTGAGAAACTCTCTTGTTGTTGTAGGCATTCTTTTACATTATATTTCAAGTCAAACATCATGGCTGCATAACATTATAAATCTGGTGCTTTTAAGTTTTCTCTAATGGAGTTTATATTCTAGATGTATCCAACCAAGTATTAATTTACTGAGCTCCATCAAACAATTTTTACGTTTGAGCGTTTTCCACACAACCCCCACCCCCTCTCTCATCAAGGAACCAAATAGATCTTTTAATATTATGATCTTATATAATATATGTTTTTGTGAAAAAGATAAAATGTAGTATCTACATTAAACAATGAGGGTATACAATTTGTACCAATATCACAATGTAAGTTAATGCCAATCTGCTGAAGCTCACATGTAGAAGTCAATGTCATATCGACAACACACACATACTGATGAACAAACAGCTTCGTCTGTTCACTCTTTTCGTACTTTTACAACTTTACAACATAATTCGACATACATTATCAACTGAAATTGTGTCAATCTACTGAAGCTTACATTTTGAAGTTAAGGTCTTAACACAAGATATATGTTTGTCAAAACACCCAGAGAAGACATACATTGTTGACAAACTGATCAATCTGTTCAATGTGTTCCTATCGTTGTTATGGTTCCATTATTTTTCGAAATACAATATACAATGATACACATTATTCCCAATATCAAGTTGGTTCGGTGTCATTAAATATCATATTCGGATTTGAAAGTGAGAATATCATTCGAAGTAAATGAGTGAGTGAGTTGGGCTTGACGACGCTTTTAACAGTATTCGAGTTACATCAGTGCGTGTCAGCTTCATGTGGAGGAAAGCCTGAAGTGATGCAGTTCTAAAACGTTAAGGTGAAACCCAAGAGCACGGGTATGGTGCTGACAAACCTAGAAACATAATCGGGGCGCACCGGGAAGTAAATGAACACTGAGCTGAACAATATAGGTCATGAAAATACCACTAGACATAAGAACATTATTCTTATCCCTTTTAACAAAATGAGTGTCATGATGGGGGTAAAATAACGCTAAATCTATGTTTTAAAACTTTGCCAGCAAGTACATTGATGAATGAACGAGAAGAGACCAGCTTTAGTGTGGTCTGTAATTAGTCCAGACTTGATACTGACTTGACTCAAATGACCCCGCAGACATTATCGTTCTAAAACCTATAACTGCCGAGTTGACTCAAATGACCCCGCAGACATTATCGTTCTAAAACCTATAACTGCCGAGTTGACTCAAATGACCCCGCAGACATTATCGTTCTAAAACCTATAACTGCCGAGTTGACTCAAATGACCCCGCAGACATTTCGTTCTATAACCTATAACTGCCGAGTTGACTCAAATGACCCCGCAGACATTATCGTTCTATAACCTATAACTGCCGAGTTGACTCAAATGACCCCGCAGACATTATCGTTCTAAAACCTATAACTGCCGAGTTGACTCAAATTACCCCGCAGATATTATCGTTCTATAACCTATAACTGCCGAGTTGACTCAAATGACCCCGCGGACATTATCGTTCTATAGCCTTTAACTGCCGAGTTGACTCAAATGACCCCAGAGATATTACTCTATAACCTATAACTGCCGAGTTGACTCAAATGACCCCGCAGACATTATCGTTCATTGTCAATTAAATCAAACTTTACAGAAAACTGTGTTTTGAGGATCTAAAAATATTTTCAACGATCCAATTGACAACGGTTATATTTATTCATATTCATTATTGCGTCGTACAGTCAACCACCTATTTTGTTTGTTAGATTACAGGTAACTAATTCCGTTAGTTGTTTCAGTAGGGCATTGTACATACAGCCTTACAGATCAGAATGCACAGGCGAAGTCGCAACAAACTCCTGTGTACAATCCTATGGCCTTGTCATGCCAGTCTGGTTCATGTGAGAATATTACCAGTCAAGATGATTTTGTAATGTAGTGTTTAAATTAGAGGGTTAATTGATCTTGATGTTAATAGAGTTTCTATGTGTGACCCTCCTACAAAGATTCATCACTGTAAGTAGGAAGTAGTGAAAAGTCAAAGTATTCATAAAAGCCAGAAATATTCCATGACACAGACGTGGGCTGTTTTAAAAAAGAGTACGGATCTTACACGTACTGAGAGCATACAGTCGAGGGGCCAGGCGTGCATGGTCGAACCACAGTGCACGTCGTGACTCATTTCTGAAATATCGGTTGAAACACTCAACTGGCGTTAACACTTAAGTGGTTTTAAAACTTGAACCTTGTATTCTGGATTTTGGGACGCAGAACTGTTTTAACCTTTTTATTATACTTTCTGAAACAATTTTAACACACAACCGAAGCAACATCACTGATACGACACCTAAAATTTGTATTGACAATCGACCCAGAAAGAAAACTTAAAGGATTTCAGGGGTAGAGTTGGTCTCCAGCAGCATATGCTTGTCGGAAGACATAACATATAAACCGAGATGTACTGACTTCATCTGACCTGACACCCCATATATATAGACATGTGCTGACTTCATCTGACCTGACACACCATGTAAACACGGATGTGCTGACTTCATCTGACCTGACACAATATATACAGAGACGTGCTGACTTCATCTGACCTGACACCATATATACAGAGATGTCCTGGCTTCATCTGACCTGACACACCATATATACAGAGATTTCCTGGCTTCATATGACCTGACACCATATATACAGAGATGTACTGACTTCATCTGACCTGACACACCATATATACAGAGATGTCCTGACTTCATCTGACCTGACACACCATATATACAGAGACGTGCTGACTTCATCTGACCTGACACCATATATACAGATAAGTACTGACTTCATCTGACCTGACACACCATATATACAGAGATGTACTGACTTCATCTGACTTGACACTATATATATACAGAGATGTACTGACTTTATCTGACCTGACACCATATATATACAGAGATGTACTGACTTCATCTGACCTGACACTATATATATACAGAGATGTACTGACTTCATCTGACCTGACACACCATATATACAGAGATTTCCTGGCTTCATCTGACCTGACACCTTATATATACAGAGATGTACTGACTTCATCTGACCTGACACAATATATACAGAGATGTACTGACTTCATCTGACCTGACACCATATATACAGAGATGTACTGACTTCATCTGACCTGACACACCATATATACAGAGATATCCTGACTTCATCTGACCTAACACCATATATACAGAGACGTGCTGACTTCATCTAACCTGACACCATATATACAGAGATGTCCTGGCTTCATCTGTCCTGACACACCATATATACAGAGATGTACTGACTTCATCTGACCTGACACACCATATATACAGAGATTTCCTGGCTTCATCTGACCTGACACCATATATACAGAGATGTACTGACTTCATCTGACCTGACACACCATATATACAGAGATGTACTGACTTCATCTGACCTGACACACCATATATACAGAGATGTACTGACTTTATCTGACCTGACACCATATATATACAGAGATGTACTGACTTCATCTGACCTGACACTATATATATACAGAGATGTACTGACTTCATCTGACCTGACACCATATATATACAGAGATGTACTGACTTCATCTGACCTGACACACCATATATACAGAGATGTACTGACTTCATCTGAGCTGACACTATATATATACAGAGATGTACTGACTTTATCTGACCTGACACTATATATATATACAGAGATGTACTGACTTCATCTGCCCTGACACTATATATATACAGAGATGTACTGACTTCATCTGACCTGACACACCATATATACAGAGATGTCCTGGCTTCATCTGACCTGACACACCATATATACAGGGACGTGCTGACTTCATCTGACCTGATACAATATATATACAGATATGTACTGACTTCATCTGATCTGACACAATATATATATATACAGAGATGTACTGACTTCATCTGACCTGACACAATATATATACAGAGATGTACTGACTTCATCTGACCTGACACACCATATATACAGAGATGTACTGACTTCATCTGACCTGACACAATATATATACAGAGACGTACTGACTTCATCTGACCTGACACACCATATATACAGAGATGTACTGACTTCATCTGACCTGACACACCATATATACAGAGATGTCCTGACTTCATCTGACCTGACACACCATATATACAGAGACGTGCTGACTTCATCTGACCTGACACCATATATACAGAGATGTACCGACTTCATCTGACCTGACACCATATATACAGAGATGTCCTGACTTCATCTGATCTGACACAATATATATACAGAGATGTACTGACTTCATCTGATCTGACACAATATATATATACAGAGATGTACTGACTTCATCTGATCTGACACATAAACAGAGATGTCCTGACTTCAACTGACCTGACACAATATATATACATACAGATATTTACTTACTTCGCCTTGATCTAGCTTTTGGAGCGCCTGCCTTAAGGATGTTCGTAATTAGATCGCCCAGATCTGCAGGTCTCGCAGACTGGTGTGCAGTTGTAAATGTCCACGTTGGGTCTGCCATCATGTCTGTAAAAATGTCTTGGTCGACAACTATGTGTGTGTCTCTCCTCGCTCGGGGCAAAATCACTCTACTTGATTTAGACTTAACTTGGATCATTAGATGTCCCAAAGTCTGCCCCTCCTCTGCCACATGTCCCAGTGGTCCTGTCTGTACCTCCTGTACCAGATGTCCCACTGGGCCTGTCTGTTCCTCCTCTACAAGATGTCCCAGTGAGCTTATCTGTCCCTCCTCTACCAGATGTCCCAGTGAGCCTGTCTGCCCCTCCTGTTCCAGATGTCCCATTAGGCCTCTTTGTCTCTCCTCTATCAGATGTCCCAGTTGGCCTGTCTTTCCCTCCTCTACCAGATGTCCAAGTGGGCCTGTCTCTCCCTCCTGTACCAGATGTCCCAGTGGGCCTCTCTGTCCCTCGGCTACCAGATGTCCCAGTGGTTCTGTCTGTGCCTCCTGTACCAGATGTCCCAGTGGGCCTGTCTGCCTCTCCTCTACCAGATGTCTCAGTGGTCCTGTCTGTTCCCCCTGTACCAGATGTCCCAGTGGTCCTGTCTTCCCCCCCTCTACCAGATGTCCCAGTGGTCCTGTCTGCCCCTCCTCTACCAGATGTCCCAGTGGTCCCGTCTGTCCCTCCTCTACCAGATGTCCCAGTGGTCCCGTCTGCCCCTCCTCTACCAGATGTCCCAGTGGTCCTGTCTGCCCCTCCTCTACCAGATGTCCCAGTGGTCCTGTCTGCCCCTCCTCTACCAGATGTCCCAGTTGTCCTGTCTGTTCCTCCTGTACCAGATGTCCCAGTGGTCCTGTCTGTTCCTCCTCTACCAGATGTCCCAGTGGTCCTGTCTGTTCCTCCTGTACCAGATGTCCCAGTGGTCCTGTCTGTTCCTCCTCTACCAGATGTCCCAGTTGTCCTGTCTGTTCCTCCTCTACGAGATGTCCCAGTTGTCCTGTCTGCCCCTCCTCTACCAGATGTCCCAGTGGGCCTGTCTGTCCCTCCTCTACCAGATGTCCCAGTTGTCCTGTTTGTTCCTCCTGTACCAGATGGCCCAGTGGGCCTGTCTGTCCTTCTATTTCTAAAAGTCCCGATGTGTCTGTCTGTCCCAGAACGGTCAGATATACACACACGACAGCTAGAAGCAAGTGCATAACGAGGTCCTAGGATCACTCGCAGCCCATGGGTCGGGCTAAACACTCCTAGTTTCTCAGGGCATTTACTTCTCTTCAAACTCCAAACAGGTACGCTAGGCACATCACGGTTATGACATCAACTGTAGCGTGTGAAATGATACACTAGTCGTACACATAATCACCCTCAGCTTCACGGCTCTAAGTGCGCCAGCAGGGAGGTCGGCCCACCAGATTGACTGTGACAGCCCGCATACCCGACTAACGTCGTCACTCTTGCTTTTAGCATTTTCCACATAAGACATATTTATAATCGACACATCTTTCATGCACGATCGCAGATGGGATAACTCGAACCTTGTCCCGTATTTAAAGGTAAGACAATTGGTTACAGGCAGTATGAGTGGAGGTATGTTGAGGGTTAAAGTGACGTGTTGAAGTGATGTGTTGAAGTGATGTGTTGTAGTGATGTGTTGAAGTGATGTGTTGTAGTGATGTGTTGAAGTGATGTGTTGTAGTGAGGTGAGGCTGTTGGTGGAACCAAAGCTTAGAAAGGGATAACCGGGTGTGGGATTGTTTAGAACTTGTTGATGAGTAGGGATTCCCTTTTTGGGATACTTTTGGGTTGTGGTTGCTTTTGGGAAAATCGCGAGGCGAGGGTGATGCAATCACTGAATTCCCTGAAGCCAGTATTCTGAGCACATACCAACAGGCACATCGTCCTGTAGGGTCTCTTGTAGTCGCAGAGATTATCTCTGCTGTCTTGCGGTGGGCCTTGTGGCATCCGGATATATACTACTCAAAAGAAGTTAAAGAACACCCCATCCTTTCATATAACTATTGTTAATCTGTCATGGAATAAAGGATTAACTATAGAAATTTGAAAGAATCGTGTTTTCTTTAACTTCTTTTGAGTAGTATATATTTGACTGATTAAAAATACAGGTGTGTTCTGTTATGGGGTATGATTAGGAATACGGGTGTGTTGTGTTATGGGGTATCCAGATAGGGGTGTGTTGTGTTATGAGTATCCAGATACGGACATGTTGTGTTATGGAGCATCAAGATATGGGTGTGTTGTGTTATTGGTATCTAGATACGGACGTGTTGTGTTATGGAGCATCAAGATACGGGTGTGTTGTGTCATGATTTATCCAGATATGAGTGTGTTGTGTTAGGGGGTATCCGGATACGGATGTGTTGTGTTATGGAGCATCAAGATACGGGTGTGTTGTGTCATGAGGTATCCAGATACGAGTATGTTGTGTTATGGGGTATCCAAATACGGATGTGTTGTGTTATGGGGCATCAAGATTTGGGTGTGTTGTATCATGAGGTATCCAGATACGAGTGTGTTGTGTTATTGGTATCCAGATATCCAGATGGTTTGTTATTGAGTGTCCAGTTACGGGTTATATTATATTCTATTTTCGGCAGTAGACACAGACCAGCAAGTATATACCTCCAGTAGCCGCGGGCACGAGGTTGTAGATGGGCGGTAATAACGCGCTTATCTGATGTCGTCGCAAGTCTCGCCTGTACACCAGCTCACACACGCCCCCCAGGCAGGTAAACACACAGAGTCATTAAATAACATGGTTGGAATAAAGTGATCAGTGTAGCAGCCATGTTTATTAACACTACACTGTTAGGAGATGTTCGAGACAATTACAGTCTTCGTTACATATTGGTTCAACACTGACACCTCGTTTCAGTTGTTGTGTACATGGGGTAACTCCTTAAGTCACAGTGGCTATGTACAAGGTATAAAACCTTAAGTCTCACTTGCTGCGTACATGGTATAACATCTCAGTCTCAGTGGTTATTTACAAGATGCAACAGCTTAAGTCACAGTTGTTGTGTTCAAGGTATAACTCCATAATTCTCAGTTGCTGTGTACAAAGTATAACATCTTAAGTCCCAGTGGCTATTTACAAGATGAAACAGCTTAAGTCTCAGTTGTTGTGTACAATGTATAACTCCATAAGTCTCAGTTGCTGTGTACAAAGTATAACTCCTTAAGTCTCAGTTGCTATGTACAATGTATAACATCTTAAGTCTCAGTTGCTATGTACAAGGTATAACTCCTTATGTCTCAGTTGTTGTGTACAAGGTATAACTCCTTAAGTCTCAGTTGCTTTGTACAATGTATAACATCTTAAGTCTCAGTTGCTATGTACAAGGTATAACTCCTTAAGTCTCAGTTGCTGTGTACAAAGTATAACATCGTAAGTCTCCGTTGCTGTGTACAAAGTATAACTCCTTAAGTCTCAGTTGCTGTGTACAAAGTATAACATCTTAAGTCTCCGTTGCTGTGTACAAAGTATAACATCTTAAGTCTCCGTTGCTGTGTACAAAGTATAACATACAATGTACGAGGTATAACACCTTAGTCTCAATGGTTATGTAGTACAAGGAAATAATTCTTGTTTCAGTGGCAGTGCAATGCAAAGTAAATGTACATCATATTACACACTGGTCTCTAAGACTATGTAACACACGTCATATCACACCCTGGTCTCTAAGACTATGTAGCACACCTGGTCTCTAAGACTGTGTAGCACACGTCATATCACACTCTGGTATCTGAGACTATGTAACGTAAATCATATTACATCCTTGTCTCTAAGACTATGTAACATACATCATATTACACAGTGGTCTCTGAGACTATTTATCATACATCATATTAGATCCTGGTCTCTAAGTCAATGTAACATACATCATATTACACTCTGGTCTCTAAAACTATGTAACACACATCATATTACACCCTGGTCTCTAAGTCAATGTAACATACATCATATTACACTCTGGTCTCTAAGACTATGAAGCACACGTCATATCACACCCTGGTCTCTAAGACTATGTAGCACATCTGGTCTCTAAGAGCATGTAGCACACGTTATATCACACTCTGGTCTCTTAGACTATGTAGCACATCTGGTCTCTAAGACTATGTAACATACATCATATCACACCCTGGTCTCTAAGACTATGTAGCACATCTGGTCTCTAAGACTATGTAACATACATCATATTACACTCTGGTCTCTAAGACTATGTAGCACACGTCATATCACACCCTGGTCTCTAAGACTATGTAACATACATCATATTACACTCTGGTCTCTAAGACTATGTAGCACACGTCATATCACACCCTGGTCTCTAAGACTATGTAACATACATCATATTACACTCTGGTCTCTAAGACTATGTAGCACACGTCATATCACACCCTGGTCTCTAAGACTATGTAACATACATCATATTACACTCTGGTCTCTAAGACTATGTAGCACACGTCATATCACACCCTGGTCTCTAAGACTATGTAACATACATCATATTACACTCTGGTCTCTAAGACTATGTAGCACACGTCATATCACACCCTGGTCTCTAAGACTATGTAACATACATCATATTACACTCTGGTCTCTAAGACTATGTAACATACATCATATTACATCTGGTCTTTAGGACTATGTAGCACACGTCATATCACACCCTGGTCTCTAAGACTATGTAACATACATCATATTACACTCTGGTCTCTAAGACTATGTAGCACACGTCATATCACACCCTGGTCTCTAAGACTATGTAACATACATCATATTACACCCTGGTCTCTAAGACTATGTAACATACATCATATTACACACTGGTCTCTGAGACTATTTATCATACATCATATTAGATCCTGGTCTCTTAAACTATGTAACACACATCATATTACACCCTGGTCTCTAAGTCAGTGTAACATACCTCATATTACACCCTGGTCTCTAAGACCAGTAGCACATATCACATTACACCCCGGTCTCTATATCTATGAATCACACATCATATTACACACTGGCCTATTATATCCTGATCTCAGGCGGGAACTATTCCACCCTCTGTGTGATAATGGCATGATATTAATCTGTCATGTTCGCTTTTATTTCTACCTATTTCCTCGCCAACAATTGCACACGACCCTGGTGTCCGTTTGTGTTTAGATTGAACTAAGTTTGGCATTGTTGTTGACTGTAATTACAGTATTAACGTGGTGTCACGGTGTAGGGAAGAGAGGTGCGTGTTTATGTAACCTACTTGGGGGGTTCTTCACAAAGCACCTCTCAACTCCGGGGAACGCAGATTGGAGGTAGCAAAACGACAGATCATACTCAAAGGAAACACTAATTGTGATCGTGTTCCTAGTTTTCAAAGTGATATTTTGAAGCAAACATCAGCGCATCTTTATGCAGTGTTTAAAGTGTTGTATTGGGTAGAAGATGGGTTCTATAAACTTTTAAAAGAATTTTTTATTATTGTAAAAATTACAATTCATTCAAATATATAAATTTCTTCTTCTTCTTCTGACTGTAGATGATTTGACGGTTAATACAGTTTGGAGAAGAGGGAATATAAGGGTAGCAAAACTACACAGTTTAGGATAGAGGGAATATAGGGGTAGCAAGAGTGACGGTTAACACAGTTTAGGGTAGAGGGAATATAGGTGTAGCAAGACTAATGGTTAACACAGTTTGGAGGAGAGGGAATATAGGGACAGCAAGACTAAAGGTTAACACAGTTTGGGGTAGAAGGAATGTAGGCGTAGGAAGACTAACGGTTAACACAGTTTGAGGGAATGGGAATATAGGGGTAGCTGGACGGACGGTTAACACAGTTTGGAGGAGAGGGCATATAGGTATAGCAAGACTGACGGTTAACATAGTTTGGGGGAGAGGGAATATAGATATAGCAAGACTGACGGTCAACACAGTTCAGGGTAGAGGGAATATAGGGGTAGCAAGAGTAACGGTTAACACAGTTTGGAGGAGAGGGAAAATAGGTGTAGCAAGACTGGCGGTTAACACAGTTTGGAGGAGAGGGCATATAGGTATAGCAAGACTGACGGTTAACATAGTTTGGGGGAGAGGGAATATAGATATAGCAAGACTGACGGTCAACACAGTTCAGGGTAGAGGGAATATAGGGGTAGCAAGTGTAACGGTTAACATAGTTTGGAGGAGAGGGAATATAGGTGTAGCAAAACTGACGGTTAACACAGTTTAGGGTAGAGGGAATATAAGGGTAGCAAGAGTAACGGTAAACACAGTTTGGAGGAGAGGGAATATACGGGTAGCAGGACACGGTTAACACAGTTTGGAGGAGAGGGAATTTAGGGATAGCAGGACCAACGGTTAACACAGTTTGGAGGAGAGGGAATATACGGGTAGCAGGACGGACGGTTAACACAATTTAGGGTAGAGGGAATATAAGGGTAGCAAGACTGACGGTTAACACAGTTAAGGGTAGAGGGAATATAGGGGTAGCAAGACTGACGGTTAACACAGTTAAGGGTAGAGGGATTATAGGGGTAGCAAGACTGACGGTTGACACAGTTTGGGGGAGAGGGAATATAGAGGTAGCAAGACTGACGGTGAACACAGTTTGAGGGTGTGGGAATGTAGAGGTAGCAAGACTGACGGTGAACACAGTTTGAGGGTGTGGGAATGTAGAGGTAGCAAGACTGACGATGAACACAGTTTGAGGGTGTGGGAATATAGGGGTAGCAAGACTGACGGTTGACACAGTTTGGGGGAGAGGGATCAAGGGGTAGCCAGACTGACGGTTAACACAGTTTAGGGTTGAGGGATCAAGGGGTAGCCAGATTGACAAGTAACACAGTTTGAGGTTGTGGGAATATAGGAGTAGCAAAGTTCATGGGGTGATATCGTTTGTGGGGTATAATTTGTGGAGTAGCATATGTAAGAGGAATGAATGAACCTGCCGACGTCGAATATTCTAGCTAGGGACACATATTCTAACTGGATTCTCATATTAGACGTGAGTGGGCACTTACAAGATTGGGGTACATGGAACATGCTCTGTCCTGGAGTCCCACTGGGCCTTTCCCCAATCCCAATGTATGAATCGAATCCGAGTTAAAATCCAGTGATGTCCATACTAACAGAAAATTGTAGCTACGCTTCATATAAAGTTCAATAAAAGTAAACTTATTCTGAAATTAAATAATGCATTTTTCAATACATATTCATGGAAACACCTTTTCGACTTTAAGGTCGTGGTTCACAACTTGTACGTGCATGTTAATACACAGTGCACAATTTGGATGTTTGTGTGTTTGTTGGGAGCATGATACTCATCCGCGTGTTTTAATGTGAACAGCACACAGCAATTGTTTAGCTATCAAGTGCTCATAAAAACACTTTTGTTTGACCGTAAACAAAACTTACGCAATGCTGATAGATTGCTGAAAATCAACGTCTTCACGGCGTTGTTATGCTGCAAACAGGAATGGCGCAAAACGAAGTTGCCATACATTTTAATGCTCAGCGAAACATAATATCATCTCTTTGAATACGTTATCTACAGCAGGTCAACACTCTTGAGGTCGACATACTTGAGGCCGGTCGTCCACGTGTGACATCACGTCAACAAGACAACCATATTCGGTTAGTGCAACTAGGGAATCGACACAAAACTGCCACATTAACGGCTCGGACATTTCCTAGGTTGAGACCAATTAGTGGCAGAACCGTTCTCCACCTGCCGAGCGAGGGCAACATCCGGCACTGACGTCCAGCGATACGCACAAATTCGCTTCCTCGCCAGGCACACGTAGCTTGGTATGGACAGCATCTGAGGTACAGAAGACAAGACTGGGACAATATGCTGTTCACAGATAAGTCAAGGTTTTATATGGACAGCTCTGATGGACGTGCAAGGGTCTACAGTAGTCCAGGAGAATTATTTTGCTACTCTTGTGTCACTGAACGTCGTCAGTTCAGGGGGTGGAAGTATAACGGTATTCCCCGTGATAACATGTCTGGGAAAAGATGGAACGACGCGTACAACAGGACCAGAACCAGTCGGTAATGCTAGGTCAGTTGGGTCAATCTTTGTTTGACATTTGTAACAACATGCTCTCGGCTGTCTTCAATGCCCTGCCGTAGACTAACATCTAGTCTCTGAAATGAACATATCGAACAGAAAAAAACAGTTGTTAAATTATATTTTTATATAAAATAATAAAGAGGAGCCAAGACCTGATACTGCAGAAATCTAGACTTGCTAAACAAACATTATAGACTTGTATGGGCTGTGTTTGATATATTTGTATCAGGGTCTGTAAGACAGACTAGCCCTGCCGCTGCCTCGCCTGTATCAACGCAAATGGTGGTCACGTCCGATTTTGACACTTATTTGAGTTGTTACACATCCTTCTTTAAGGGCGTGTCGCTGTCTCCCGTTACCAGATATCGGTTATGTCACTTAATTTGTTATGATAAGACATTGATCAGACGAATGACCAAGCATTACGTTATTTTCAATAACATAAAATTTACACTTTATATGACGCAGTTACGTATTTTGGCTTGTTTATATCATTGTATAAGGTCTTTTTGAAGAACATACCATAATTTAAGATTACCTCACGAACATATACTGTTTGTAAATGGGATAAATTTGACTTAACGTCGCATAAAGCACTTTAGAATGTATGCAATGAAAATACGTTTTTTTACAGGTGGATGTAATAATTGTCATATGACATGAGTTAAGGTGACTTTGTACCACAGTTCCCGTGTTTGTTCAGGTGAACACTTGACTTGACTTGCATTTATTTGTGATGGGTGAAGCAGGATATGCTCACCTTTGCAAACACCTGTTGTCGTTACTATATGATACGGTCCATAAACACTTGAAAATGGAAAATGTTTTGTTTGGTTTATTGTTAACATCCTCTTAAAAGTATTTAACTGTTTTAAGCAACATGCCTGTAACATGGTGGCTTGTACTAGTTCAGTCTAGGTTTTATAGGGTTATCCTCTGAGATGCCCCCAGACTTTTGGTATGAGGTGGACAGGGGATCGATTCAATTACTTCCCACTCCTCCTTCAGACCCTCCAGGCAGGCAGTCGGAAAGGTAGAGGGTGGAACTAGGGTTGTATTTTTAACTAACATGTTCTGCAGCAGTAATTCAGATGTTTGTCACCTGTGACATATGAATCAAGAATATAAATACATATGTTCAGCTATTTTTGTGAAGGAAATCATTACACAGACGTTTTCATGGTTAAAACCAACCCAGGGATGAGCACACATGGACATTAGGATAAACACCATTCAGCTTTGATTATTTTATTTCTTGATGAGACCAGATCATAAATAACATGTACCGATGGTAAATGTGAATCGTAATCTTACAATGTTATGCAACTAAAATGTTTAACAAAAAATGTATATATTATATATGATGAAAAAGTGGACGGTATCTATCACAGTCATACACAAAAACACATGGCTCGGACAACCTGCACCCAGTTCTGACAGAAAACACTATCAGTGAAGGACACGAGTGTAAATATTGACAGCAAGTCATAGAATACATGGTCATTAGTAACAGTAATAACATTGTCAATGGTCACAATGACTGCAATGTCAGTGTTCACAGCTACCAAGTGTGAATTGACCAGTATGTCAATGGTAACAGCAACTACGTCAATGGGCAGTGACATCAATGTTGGTGTTCACTGATACTCCGGTGCCAATGGACCAGTGATTTCAATGGTAACAGCAACAGCAACCAGTGATGTCAATGGTAACAGCAACAGCAACCAGTGATGTCAATGGTAACAGCAACAGCAACCAGTGATGTCAATGGTAACAGCAACAACGACCGGGTTGTAAATGGTAACATCAACTACTACATCAATGGTCACCGTGACACCAATGTTGGTGGTCACTGCTACTCTGATGTCAATGGACCAGTGATGTCAATGGTAACAGCAACAGCAACCAGTGATGTCAATGGTAACAGCAACAGCAACCAGTGATGTCAATGGTAACAGCAACCAGTGATGTCAATGGTAACAGCAACAGCAACCAGTGAAGTCAATGGTAACAGCAACAGCAACCGGGTTGTAAATGGTAACATCAACTACTACATCAATGGTCACCGTGACATCAATGTTGGTAGTCACTGCTACTCTGATGTCAATGGACCAGTGATGTCAATGGTAACAGCAACAGCAACCAGTGATGTCAATGGTAACAGCAACAGCAACCAGTGATGTCAATGGTAACAGCAACCAGTTATGTCAATGGTAACAGCAACAGCAACCAGTGAAGTCAATGGTAACAGCAACAGCGACCGGGTTGTAAATGGTAACATCAACTACTACATCAATGGTCACCGTGACATCAATGTTGGTGGTCACTGCTACTCTGATGTCAATGGACCAGTGATGTCAATGGTAACAGCAACAGCAACCAGTGATGTCAATGGTAACAGCAACAGCAACCAGGTTGTAAATGGTAACATCAACTACTACATCAATGGTCACCGTGACATCAATGTTGGAGGTCACTGCTACTCCAGTGTCAATGGACCAATGGTTGCAGTAACATGAAAGTCACCGGTTACACAAACCAGTGCCAGGACAGTGATGCACACACAGAACACACATAACAAACACTTCATACATATTTGAACAAAAAGTGCCTAGGTACTGCAGCTCACCCTTCTCTTTGGAATGTCCCACCTTCTTGTCCTCCCATAATACTTTGTGAATGTCTCTACATGAAGCAGCCTAACAATGTCTGGTAGCATCTACTCATTATATACTGTATATTATCCACTGACAAGTGATATGCTACATCAACGCTAACTAATGGCATAAAAATATTCTACAGCTGCCTGGCAACCTGAATTTCATTACTTTCCGTTAAACATTCTATCAACTTCACAATGCCAAAAAGCCAGACACATTTGTAAAAAAATTGATCCATATAGAGAAGGCTACTAGCAAAGGGACCACATGGTTGATCAAAATTTAGGAGTTATAAATTGAACAATTAATTGAACATCATCAAGGCAGAACATCATCTGTTTCAAAGCTATTCAGTTCAATATTTTGGTTATTTTGGAGGGATGACATTGTTGATTATGAATCCAGTCAATACCGACCAGGTGGCCCTTTACTGGTAGCCTTCCCCATATGTTCTTGCTCTTCACGGGCTGAACTTAATTTTCACCACAGCCAATTCCCTGGCATCCATAGGTTTGTTTCTTTCAGTTAAACATTTGACCAATTCACAATGCCAAACAGCCAGACACATACTATTGAAACAAACTTGCTCAATATGTTCTTGTTCTTCTATTTCACCAATGCCATGTTGATTTGAATAAACTGAACTAGCAGGTACCCAGGTTCTATTGGATTCATATGACTGACACTATCATGAACATCATCATAAATACTATATGGTGATGCAACACAGTCAGATGTTGTCGTCCAGTTGAAGTATACATAAAAAAAGTGGTACATGTTTTAGTTTTTTGGAAAATTAAAAATGCTGTTGGATAAGTTGCCTTCCTTTTCTGTATCGGACGAATGACTGTCACCTTCCGTGCTTAAGACCAATAGTCCCCAGGAGCAGGAGCCTGTTCAGCAATGTTATCACATGGTTGTAGAATGAGTGAGCGTATTGGGTTTAACGCTGCTTACAGTATTCCAGTTATATCACCAGATGTCAGCTCATGTCAGAGGAAAGCCTGAAGTGATGCAGGTATCAGACGTTTATCACTTTGTTAAAATCCTCGACCGCAGGTATGGTGCTGACAAACCTAGAAACATAATCAGGGCAAATGAGGATTCGAACCCACAATTATAGATTTCTGGCAAGCCAAAGGGACGTAACTCTGCACAACAAATTACGGTGACTTAGACACCTGAGGATCCCGTGCCCTCAAGAAGGTTGTTGAGGTTTTGCAGGTACCGCTAACTTGACACACAACACACCTATAATCATTTGTTTACACGTTTGGCCGATAGATGTGTGCTTTTTGTTATACTACATAAACAGATCTTTGTGGGCCCATGCAACGACATACATTGGTCTTTGTGGGCAGGTTACATTACATTCACATATGGGGCACCTGCTACAAAATACATTATATACACAGAGCTTTGTGGGCATATGCCATTACATTGACAAACAGGGCACTGCCATATAATACATTATACATACAGTGCTTTGTGGGCACGTGCCATTAAATTCACATACAGGGCACAGCCACAAAATACATTATATATACAGATATTGTGATCATGTGCTTCCATATACCTTCCCTCAGCCTTTCGGCCTGAGAGATGTTAATAAAAGTCAAGACAATAGTAATACTGTTCCTAAACCTTGTCTCACACCAGCGAAGACAAATTATTGGCTTGTGGTCCAACACATTCAATACACAGACATACAAGCACATGTCCAGGACACTATCATCATCTGTACAGCTGGAATGTAATCAGACTCAAATGCAACACAGGAATAAATATTTTAGTCAGTGACTGTGAATGTTGCAACGGTTGGTAACATGCTGACAGTGACTGGTGGTGCCCCTGTTGGTGACACATGCAGATGATGACTGGCGACAGGGTGACATCCCTGCAGATATCTAGGAATCAGGACGTCACTATTCCTTGTAAAACAGTAAACCTTACTTAAAACTTAATGAGACTAAAAACAACTCAACACCAAATGAATCAATGAATAAATAAAAACATGTATTTCATGGTATGCTTTCGAAAGGAATGATGCGTTTAAAAAGGTTCCCTGGCAATCGAACCAATTCCTTGGCAACAGAACCAATTTTAGATCACAGCCAGGTCTCTGGTCAGACGTGTAACTGAGGTTTGGTCAGGTTTCAGTGTAAATAGTCACACACATGACAGTAGGTGTCCCCTTGCCTCACCACATTATGTACAAATACAAGTGATATCCTGGCATCAGTAAGCTTCAGATGGTGCTCTGCTGAACAACACACAGTGAACATGATGATCTTCCTATGTACAAAGGTTGCAGTCTGAGTCGACTCCTTTGCCTGCTTGCTCCCTCACTGACTCCATCTCTGGCTCCCTGCTGGCTCCATCTATGTACACACAGCGTCTCAGACACTCAAGTCTTTTTACTCTGAATGGCTGCCAGCCCACTGGCACTTATGGTTCCGAATGACTGTGTGTAACTGCCGAAGCTAGCTTTGTGTGCTCCTGTAGATGGGTTATTGACGGCATTACTGAACTGCTTGCGTCCATACACAGGCTTGGGGCGGGGGTTGGATGCTGACGAGGGCCGCTGTCCGGGGACCTGGGTACAAAGTCAGATAGATCAGTTTGTTGTTTGTCGTTTAATGCAAAAATCAGAAATATTGATGTAGACCTGTAAATAATTGAGTTTGGACCATACAAACCAGTGATTGATATTATGAGCAACTGTCTGTGTACGAGGACATGCAAGCAACTTAAGTCATTGAGCCTTAAGACAAAGTTATTAAAGTATGATCACAGTGGGTGGCAGATCCAGGGGATTGTGGGGTGGAGGGGTTTGTGGGTGTGTTTGTGGGTAGGTGTGGGGTGTGTGTATGGGGTGTGGTGTGGTGGGGTCATAGGGTCATGGCCCCCTTTTGAAAATAACATTTTTATATTGTCAACATCCTTGATACTCCAGTGTATTATATCTGCATTCAAGTTTGATAAATATACTAGATCCATTCACCATCATTTGTTTCCATCGTCCTTATCTCTCACTTAGCTCAGAATTTCTCTCGACCATGTAACCATCATCTTGAATCCTTGCAGAAGTTATGATAAATGAGGTAAGCATTGGCTTTCATCTATTATGCATTATTTTGATAACATATTGATTTATGATACCTGCTTAATTCCCTTTTCACAAAAAACAATCTAAAACTTAATCTCAAATTCCAATTCAAAGAATGTCCATTGATTCCACAATTTCAGTAGAGTGCAAGAGAGAAACTTCAAAGTAATCGTTTGATAAATAGATGCCATCATCATTCAATTGGCAAAAAAGAATCATTCAAAATACGAATCTGTACACAACATTTACCAGAGATGTTGTAATATTTTAGGGGTGATTCAATCAACAATCAGCTCATTCAACACATTCTTGTGGCAGCCATTTTGAGTTTGGAATAGAATTTGTTGTATTGAAGAATCATATAAGCATCCGGCCAACACTTGAATACAACAATATGGTTTTGTTGACAGAAAAAGGAAACCGTTCCACTATTCACTTGCTGATTCTCAAGTCTCAAGCTTCATTTCTGTAAGAGAGTTGTTTTTAATGCTGCTTTGTGGTGTGTGCTTTTAGCAGCATCAGTGATCGAAATTAAACATGAAAATCAAAGGGTAGTTATCCCTATGTGAAAGGTTTAACATCAAGTGTATCCCCAGATTCAAATGCCTTAGGCATTTGTTAGGAGAAGACCTCAAGGATCCCAGGACCCCTTAAGTTTCAGCACTGAACATTCTAGCAATTGGCTTCACACATTGTATAGTCTGGAAGGTAATTTAAGGTACCGACGTTTACTACAATATCTGAAAAACTATCGGACCTACTCCAGTCAAAGTTGGTATGAGATTATTAAACAGTCATACATAACTGGATATTACATTTAAAGACAATCAGTGCATGAATAAAAAATCTGTCTATTTAGCTATCAATATATTTCATCAACAACCAGACCTGTTCGTCACGGGTGGAACGAGCATTTATTGTAACAGCCATCTGCATAATGCTACCCCTGCGTCACAGGGCCATATGGCCATATGGCTGTTTCAATGAATGCTCGTCGTAAACGTCGGTACCTTAAATTACCGTCCAGACTATACACATGTGGACGCTTAGCAGTTTGGTGAGAAACCCACAAGCACTTACATGTTTCTGAGAAACCATGGGCCATAATCAGGTCCAATCTGGCATGGGAAATGGATGTCACACTACACAGTTAAAGCCAAGCTAACTTACTCCTCAATTTCTGGTAAACAGGATAAAGTAAGATATAACAATTTTTGATTCAATCATAAATTGATGATTTGCTTTCCTACATTTACGACTTGACAAAATAGAACAAATTCTTACCATTCGTGAGCTTGTGACGGTCAAACCGCCACCGCCACCGCCACCCCCAGACCCCTGACGCTCCTCCCCACCCCGGGTTATCACAGGGTTTCTGTAGGCACCAGATATTGGGCGGCCTTGACCCCGGGTCACTGCTGGGGCTGATGCTTGGCGGTTCTTCTGGTTTTGCTGGATTGGAGGATATGGGTCCTGTACAAACATCATAATTAATATAACTCCAATCTTTGCCTTAGGCTTTATCATTTAAAACAAATTATTTCAGGTAACACATCCTTAGGAACCCTAAAATGTTACTCTGAAAATGTTGACTTTTTCAGAAAGGAAAACACACAAATCATAGGACCAGTGCATAAGAAGTTTCACCAACCCCAACACAAAGGGAGGGATTGTTGAACTGGCATGATTTTTCTAGAATTTCACCTTGTTTTACCAGTGCCTTTGATTCTGTTCACTATCATAGAAGAATGATGATTACAGCTGTTATGTATTGACCTGAAGTGTAAATCTCATGGAAATATTTGTTGGATGCACCACTACCCTCAAAATGACATAAAAATTTTGAACCCTTCCCAAACATGGTTAAATTTCTGAATTATTTCCCAACAACTATTTCAAACCTTACAAACAGAGGACCTATATCTGTGGCGCTTGAGAGAGAGGGACTAAGTTGGTGGTTAGAGAGAGGACCAAAACTGAGAATGAGGGCCTACCCTATCCATGATAGACTTCATGGACAGTGACAGATAAGACGTAAACTGCTGGTGAGAGAGAGGACCTAAATTGGTTGGGGGTGAGTAAGAACCCACACTGGAGTGATTGATTGATTGCTTGATTGCTTGATTGCTTGATTGCTTGAGTATGGTTTTATGCCGCTTTTAGCAATATTCCAGCAATATCACAGCAGGGGACACCGGAAATGGGCTTCGCACATTGTACCCATGTCAGGATTCGAACCCGGGTCTTTGGCGCGACGAGCGAATGCTATAACCACTAGGCTACCCGACCCCCCAGCCTACACTGGAGATTAGAGGGGACAGGAGGCTTATATTAGTGACTGTGTTTGAGAGAGAAAGGTGGCACTTACATTGGAGGCGAGAGAGTGTTGCTGCCCATTAAGGTAGTCCAGACTACGTTGCCTCATCAGGGCCTTCTGCTGAGCTTCATGGGTTGTTGTTCGACCAAATGCGACATCTGTAAAGGCAATTTGACATCAGTAAGACATCAGTATCCAAACAGATACAAAAATGACAAAATGAAAATGAAACAAACTATTCTAATATTGGAATGCTGTGTGCATAGGACAGTAGAACACGAATATAATGAACATGGAAAAAGCAAACAAACGGATACATCAAACTGTTAAAAAATCCCTGATTTATCTCCTATATAATATCATATAAAATTTACGCATATAACGGACTCTCTACAGCCAACTAACAGATACAGCGAACTGATATCTGATCACCAGCAAGCCCATCTACCAGTAATTAGTGACGTGTATAGTGAACTAAGAAATCTCACTCAGTGTCAAGTGTCACTGAAACAAGTCAATGCTGCAATTACGTGTATTGTGTTTTGTTTTATCCAAGATGGTGGACGTTTCTGAGACGAAAATGTATTTAACGAACAACGGATATAACAAACTGATTTCTCTGGTCCCTTGTAGTTCGTTATATCCATGTTCTACTGTAGGAGGATATAGGAGGCATTTGCTTTATTTGGTGAAGACTTGGGATATTTACTTGTGAAGGAGGAGTGGTGTCGGTTGTCAACGAGGCCTCCCCTGGATGCAGACTTGGGGGAGGGGCCTGACACGTTTTCCTTCATAGCGGGATCCTGGTGGGGAGGGGAGAGGTTGCTGCTGGAGTCTCCAGCGGCCATCAATGTTTGTTGCTGCTGCTGCAGTTGTCTCTGCTGCGCACTCCGTGACTCTTCCCGTCGGCGTCGACGACGTTCTGCTTTCTTTTGCATGATCATCTACAATGGCCAGGATGTGATGTCTCGCAATTGTATAAAAATTGAACACATTTCTTGGGTTGGAAACTTCCATGTTTATCAATGCTTTGAACAGTATTGCAGTTCTATCATGGTGTCTCAGCTTAATGTGGGAGGAAAGCATGAAATGATGCAGGTCTCAGCAATTTGCACCTTTGGTTAAACCCACGAGCATGAGCATAGGTAGGGTCCTGACAAACCTAGAAACATAATCGGGGCGAACCGGGATTCGAACCCACAATCATAGGTTTCTTGTGTGCACGAGAGACACAACTCTGCACAGCGAATTGCAGTGCCCAAGATAACTGTGGCATCTGTGCCCCCTGTAATGATGGAATACAATTGTTTCATATTATATTGACATGGACTGAATGTTTCCCTAGACCATGTCAGACTCTATACACTGCGTACTGTTCCTTTTGTTTGTTTGTTATTTTAACATTGCAGCCCCAGTCAGCAATATTTCAGCTATATCAAGGCAGCTAGTAAATAATCGAGTCTGGGTCAGACTGACGGGTAATTCACATTAAGACAAAATGATTTGTTTACTTGGTTTGTTTGTTGCTTAACGCAGCACTCAGCAATAGTCCAGCTATATGATGGCGGTCTGTAAATAATAGAGTCTGGACCATACAATCCAGTGATTGATATCATGAGCATCAATCCACACAATTGGCATATGTTGACATGCATCAACCAAGTCAGCGAGCCTGACCACCTGATCCTTAGTCGCCTCTTACGACAAGCATAGTCGCCTTTGATGAAGTCCAGAAGCAATAGCAATAGAGTGCTTCCCAGAGCCCACTCCTCACCTCATACAGCATACTCCGATATTCATCCACGGAGCGCTGGACATCATCACTAAGTGGAGGGACCACATCATAACTAAGCGACAGCTCTTCTGACGTGTTGTGAAATCTAGGATGCAAGGCAAACATTTAGAAGCAGTTCAAAAGGTCCATGTCAAATAATTATTTTTGAAGTTTTGAGACATACCCCAACATCCCCAATGAAAGGTGATTATGAAAATTTTGACAAGCTCAAGGAGATTTTCAGAAAGAATAACAAAGAAATCATAGTACAGCTGCAAAATGTTTTTGAAATCCTTGGACAACAGAAGTTGTGGAGTAGGAAACTACCTCAATCTTCCTGGGGAAACTTTGACTCTAGGGCATGGTTATTGGATAGGCAGTTTGTGTACCAATAGACAAGACTTCCCAAAATAGCATTACAGATTAAATGAAAATTGGAACAAGTAAAATCTGTAAAGCACTATTTCTTCTCCTCCAAAATGCAAACCAAACTATTTGTGCATACAAGTCAAAGGTAAACTGCAAGACAACAGATTGTGATCACTGGTGATAGGTTAAATGATGGTACAAGTGTAAGTATCACTACAGACATGATAACATATTTAGATAACTTTCTGATATAAAGAAATGCCAAATGTTTGTGATGTTTGTTTCCACCTATTGACCTGGGCCGACTTGCACAAAGCGATCTTAGTGCTACAACTACCTTAGTCTAAGTTAGAGTATGGGAGTTACGATCCTCTGAGCGCTAAGTGCAAGTGGGCCCTGGATCTTTCACACAATATATCTGTAAACACACCTTTCTACATATGGGTGGCGGACTGCTTCATCTGCTGTGATGCGCTTGTCGGGGTTGAAGTGCAAGAGGCGACGCACAAGGTCAATGGCCTCTGGCGGGCTTTCTGGCAACATGTCCTCTATCCTCCTTTTTGGTCTGCAACCATGGCAACACAGAAATAGTTAATTACAGAATACAAAACTGCAGACAACTAGGAAGCTTAAACAGTATCTGCCAATGATTTGCGGAGTTTTTTGATTAACTGAGCACTTTTGAGACAGACCCAAGGGACACAACTCTGCACAACGAATTTTGGCTGATGACTGAGGCCCTATGAGACCATCCATTTAGGATCTAATAGGACACTGAACATATCTTCCTCAGGATGAATAAACAGAACATTTGATTATCTTGGATCTAGATATGTTCCTGTAGCATAAAGAAACTGAGCACATATCAACTATTTGTCTGCTTCTTTGATGTTGAACACTACACTCAATATTCCAGCTATAGGATGGTGGTGTGTAAATAATTGAGTCTGGACTACATAATCCAGTGATTGACATCATGAGCATCCATACATGCAATTGGGATATGATTACATGACTCAACCAAGTCAGCGAGCCTGACCATCTGATCCTGTTAGTTGCCTCTTATGACAAGCATTGATTGCTGAAGACCAATTCTAACCCAGGCCTATCAGCTAGGATCCAATGACAACAGTTTCCGAATGGATATGCTGTTCACAAAATCTTCAAGAATCTTGACTAGTTCAAATCAGGATTACTTCATCCAGAAAAATCTAAACAATGCTGAAAGCAGGAAGTTGTTTGAGATCTGAGACACAGTGTTATATTCCCAGAACTAAGTGTAGCCTCACCTCATAGCAGCTTTCTCTAACACAGACGACCCGTAGGCGGACTTGATGCTCTCGATGTCTGGAAGGATAACATGAGAAGCATTACTACACCAGCATGTGTATCTCACCTCCTGGCTGGAGTCCTGCCTGTCATCAATGTCACACAAGTACATGCACTCTGAACACAATCAAACATTTCTGCTGAAAACAGCCCAATGAGGTGACCCGTAGCCAGTTTGGCCTGTTGACCTTGCTAGCATTTGGCTGTCACGTGATGTAAACATCCTAGTCAACAACCATTGACACCTTGTCAGATGCAGAAAGTTGCAGAAAAATGGTGACCTGGTAAAGGTAAATGTTAGATCACTAATATTTCTTTTAGCAAATTCAATGACCGCTTGTAGTCAATGCTTGCCATGACCACTGGTACCCTCGTGCTTTTGTTTACAGTCCCCATGTTGAAACTATATTTTCAAAACCTTGTTGAATACAAGTGTCTTTTGATTATACAATAAGTACTTAAATGTAAATAAGTAGGAATTATAAAGGTGTTTGCTGACGACTGGCAACACTACTTACCTCCCCTTGAGGGTGCAGGGATAGAGGCCATGATCCTCTCGATCTGGTTGATGGTGGACGACCCTGGAAACAGAGGCTTGTTTATCAACATCTCCCCCAGGATACAGCCCAGACTCCACATGTCCACACCCTTGGTGTACCTGAAACATACAGGAGACATACAGCAGACATACAGGAAACATGGACATAATACAGGTGACATCATGGACATAGGGAGCATACAAGTGAAATACACAGGTCATACAGGAGACATAGAGGGGTCATACAGACATCATACAGGAGACACAGGGGACATACAGGGGTCTTACAGGAGACAAACACAGGTCATACAGGAGACATACAGGGATCATACAGGGGACATATATGAGACATAGGGGTCATACAGGGGACATACAGGAGACACACAGGGGTCATACAGGAGTCATATAAGAGTCATACAAGAAACAGGGGACATACATGAGACATAGGGGTCATATGGGAGACATGCAGGGGACATACAGGGGACATACAAGAGACATACCGGGGTCATACAGGAGACACAGGGGTCATACAAGAAACAGGGGACATACAGGAGACATAGGGGTAATACATGAGACATACAGGGGACATACATGAGACATAGGGGGCATACAGGAGACATACAGCAGACATACAGAAACCAGTGACATGATACAGGTGACATCATGGACATCGTGGACCTAGAAGCATATAAGTGAAATACACAGGTCATACAGCAGACATACAGGAGACATACACAGGTCATACAGGAGACAAACAGGGGTCAGACAGGAGACATACAGAGGTCATAGAGCAGACATACATGAAACATGGACATGATATAGGTGACATCATGGACATAGGAAGCATACACGTGAAATACACAGGTCATACAGGAGACATACATGGGTCATACATGAGACACACAGGGGTCATACAGGAGACATACAAGGTAATACAGGTGACTACAGGACCTGTATATCAGAAACTTACAAAAGACGACATCTTGCAAGCTGCAAAAGCCACATTTCATGTTACCATGGTGATAAAACAGTTGGTTTACCTGTGTGATGCAAGCAGGATCTCAGGGGCTCTGTACCAGCGTGTGGCCACGTACTCTGTCAGATTGGGGTCCCCTGTTTCATCCATGCCGATCTGTGTGAGTGACCGTGCAAGACCAAAGTCACACAGCTTGACCACACACTCACTGTCCAGCAGAATGTTGGAAGGCTGCAGGGATAGAGAAACTGATAATCTCAACATGCTCAAACAGCGGGGTACAATAGGGACATGCAACTTTACTGTGTGCAGCTGGTGTGGGCCACATATTCATGATAATAATATGAACAAACAAATCAATAGTGGCTTTGAATGAAAATCACAGGTTCCAAGACATATTGGTACATGACCAATTTTACAAAGTGAGTTAATTACTAATGATTCAGACCTGTGAAGAGTCAGGTAAGAATAGGTCTTCAGCAGCCCATGTTTGTCAGTAAAGACGCTAATGCTTGTCTTAAGAGGCGACCAATGGGATCGGGTGGTTGATACATGTCATCATATCCCAATTACTTAGACCAATGCTCATGATGTCAATCCCTGGATTGTCCGGTCCGACCACACCGTCGTCAAATAGCAGGAATATTGCTGAGTGCGGCGTCAAACAACAAACAAACAAACTTTACTTTTTCAGAAACTTTATTGCTCAGATATGAAGGGTTGTTAACTGTTTTCAGTGACCAATGACATAATAAGGGACCACGTTATAGTCAGCACTATTTCGGGGACTTTTAGATAGTGGAGTCTAGACCAGGCAAACCAATGACTGAAAGCATGAACAAGGAACCATGCCATAAGGGGACAATGACACAAAACTTGTCACAGAGCCTCTTACAAGCATGAGGTACCGGGGACCCATTCAAACCTAGAATCCCTATATGGCAATGACCTTGATACAGGTTGTGTCAGAATGACTAACTATTTGTTACCTTCTGATCTCGATGGATCACATTGCCTGAGTGAAGATACTTGGTAGATTTGAACAGCTGGTACATGATGTACCGTTTGTGAACATCCTTCAGAATGTTGCCTCTCTTGATCACATTGTGAAGGTCAGTTTCTGAAAAGAAATACAATCAAATACTTTAATATAATCAACTATCTTTTAGGCCTTCACATACAACCAACTAATTTAGACATTGTGCTAGGTATGAAATTGCTCGAAACAAATGACAACAACATACTTTAACATGTGTAAGACGTTCTGCAAGATGCATAGTCACTGGATACACGCAAATACTTTATTCTGCTAGGTGCAAAGTCACTGTATACAGGGCATAAAACCACATAAAAATAAGTTCAAACAATAAGATTTACTGACCCATGAACTCAAAGACAAGATAGATATCCTTGTCATTTTCTGCCTTGATGACGTTATGGAGCTTAATGATGTTGGGATGGTCCCCGAACTCCTGGAGGAACATGATCTCTCGGAACGTCCTCTGTAACACACAACACAAGGTCAGGACAAACACAATAACATAGAACTGGTGTTATGTATGTATGTATGTATGTATGTATGTATGTATGTATGTATGTATGTATGTATGTATGTATGTATGTATGTATGTATGTATGTATATGAACAATATGAAACAGACCTTAGTGGAATGTATAACAGTTAAATGCCAGACTCAGCAATATCCAGCTATATCATGCTATATGATGTCAACATGTAAACAAGCAAGAGAATTTATGGATGTCAACTTCTTTATTATGAGGAACACAACGTTTCGGAGTATATGCTTACTCCTTCATCAGGTGAGAATGAATGAATTACTGTAATTACTGCAATTGCTAATTACTGTAAAGTGTTGGCTTCCATTATCTATTGCTAATCACCTATCAGTGCCAATTATCTGTTGGCTTCCCTTGTTAAGTTTCCACCTCTATCTTACCGGTATTACTTTTGTTGTTCTTACATGTACATATATATGCTCTCTGCCTCATGGCATTCATTCACCTGATGAAGGAGTGAGCATATACTCTGAAACGTAGTGTTCCTCATAATAAAAAAGTTGACATCCATATATTCTCTTCCTTATGTGTATGACTTCTAAATGCATTTCAAAGACTTGAACATGTAAATAACTGGACAAAAAGTGATTCAACTTCCCACACCATCAGGATACAATGATATGCAATTGTCCGAATCACTAAGACTGACCACCAGGTATGTTTATTCACCTCTAATGTTGCTGGAAAACTATTCTTCCCCAGAATCCCCATGGGGAGAAAACATTACATCCTTTATCATGTTTAGGTGGTGTGTCAGGTCAGAAAGCATCAATACGTTTCCACGAGGTATGTCAACACCATAATATAAGATAGCTACGTGATAAATCGCAAAGAACAATGAAGAACATACATGGTTTATTTCACAAGAAAACATTGTTCTATAATGACGGCATTTCTGGAGATTCGAACATGCGCTCAAAACTTGATGACATAAATTGGACGACGTTATTTCTTTGTTTGAAGTGTCTAGTGAGTTGTTCCCCATAGATAAACGCAATGGCCGAACGATCGCATCCAAAAAAAGGGGAGAAAAATGACAATCAGTTTTGGGAAAAAAGGTACAGATAATTGAGGTGAAAATTGTGAGAATATGCAGGAAAGACCCCCCCTTTCATAAAATGGACTTGTCTATTCTAGAGGAGTCATCAATATTTAAATATGGGTAAATATCTTAAACATGTTAAAGCTTGTAATTTTATTAACATCCTTAAAGAGGCTGTACATAATATTGATATCTCATATAAGAAATATACCACTTGTGGTCATTGTACATTTTATTGTACGATTATGAAACACTGCAGGGAGAATAAACCACACAGAGCTGCTCTCACTTGTTTATTCTTAAATATGGACTATGTAGGCCATGTAATGCATATGTAGTAAGTTCAGTGATATTTACATCAGTGTGACTGTTATGCACATGAATCAATACACTAACAGACTAAAGAATCAGTGTTATGCTCACATACTACAGAAATTAACACAACACTACCATCATGATCATGAATGCTCAGGATAGAGGCATTAGTGTCGCCTCTTACGACAAGCATAGTTGTCTCTAACAGCAAGTATGGGTTGCTGAAGACACATTCTCTACCCGGATCTTCACGGGTTGTCAGTATAATGATACAGACTGATACATTATGTACCTGAGCATCTGTCTGGTTCCTGAATGCATCGAAAATCTTCTTGACCGCCACCACCTCCCCTGTGCGACGGTCAATCGCCTTCCATACAATGCCATATGCCTGCAATGACAAACAACATACATGATAATGTGTTTAAACATAATCTTTTCATAAATGACAGCAAAGTCAATGTGTACCCTGGTCTGTTCAATGAAATTAACAATATTGAAAAAAATTGCAGTCAAAAAAATTCTTTCAGTGTAGTAAGCTGAGCTAATGATCGTCATAATTGTGACTAGTCCATAAATAATGACTACAATCTGCTCAAAACATCTGTCAAATTTGGAGTACACTGTCTTTGATACTTCAGAAGTCATGGTATTTATGCATAAAATTCCATTTACTTCACAAATACACATAACATGTACATGATGTGAAGCCAGGTTTTGTTTATTCCTTGGTATAAAAAAGACATTTATCTTCCTTCAACAAGTTACCTGAATATGTTGTTGTGTGTGCAACGTTAGATAAGCTTGTCCCGTTGTCAACCTACTGTAATCTTGCACTGAGTTGCAGTTTAACATTTTGCTTACATTTATTCTGTGTGTTGATCTTGTAATCATGGTAAGTTTGCATTAGGGGAACCTTTTTTGGTCTTTTCAGGTTTTTTATTTTTCCATTTTTATGGTAGGTAAAATCATTAACATGATTAAATAACTGTTTCTTAAAAAACCTTGACAAATTAGAAAATACACCGATGAAAAGTGGAGTAGTACCATGGCTATCCACTTACTTGATAACACATACAACATGTACAACGGCTGACGTATGTTCATACCACAAATATTTGTGATGTACCACACTGAATTTAAGTTACCCTCAACAATATTTCAGTGTCATCAAACTATCTGTTGTAAATATATTTGTGCACCATTAATGTATCATATTTATGAATATCTGTAATTTTTAAAGTCACATGTGGATAATTTTGAATGTATGACACAAGCGCATATGGATTTAGTATCTTAGCACCTGTATCTTCACCATGTGGGCATAATGTTTTATATACTTCCCATAAGCACAAGCATACAGCAAGTGATCAATAAGTGAGTGAGTGAGTGAGTATGGTTTTACGCCGCTTTTAGCAATATTCCAGCAATATCACAGCGGGGGACACCAGAAATGGGCTTCACACATTGTACCCACGTCGTGAATCGATCCCGGGTCTTCGGCGTTTAACCACTAGGCTACCTGACCACCCGATCAATAAGTGAAATTGCATGAATAACTGAAATTTAAACATTTCTTAGAAGAGCTAAGACTGATGTAAATAAATATTGTTCAAATGAGTGAATGTTGTATTTCATGGCAGACAGCAATGTTCTTGAGATAACAATCAATTTTCCATCAAGTATGGACCAGCTGCCAGTGGTATTAGCCTGGGTCCCCTGACAATGTGAATCAGCAACTCAGTCAGGCCGCAATAAATTTATTATTAGACTTTCCTCCATGCACAACTCACATCATTCAATGTCACTAAGACAAGAAAGTCAACATGTGTGTTGCATTCTTTTGCTACTTGATGGAATACAATATATGTATTGCTACTAACATTCAGGCTTTAACATGAATAAATGAATCATATCTGTCAACTGTTAATCTAAGCTGACACCAGTGACCTTGAATAGTTTTTTAACTGCTTAAAGAAAAGAAAATATTTGGATGAAAATCTAACAAAATTTTTACTGTGGCCTTATTTGAACATATTGAGAAGGGATTGTATTTGACTGAAAATTTTAATATTGATATATAATAAAACAGGAATACAGTGATCGCTCGCTATTGCGCTACCAATGGGGTCCAAATAATTGGTGGGCGTTATAGACGATGAGCCGTTTAACCGAAGCCGAGGCGGGGGAGCGCGCTCGGCAAATCTCAAATCATCAATAGGCCTATGTGTTTATCTCACGTCACGTCAAAATAGTATATATTTTTATGGACCTAGATCTACCTGTAATATCATTCATTTATTAAATCTGTCATATTTCACAATGTCTGAAATACGTATTCCATTCTAATTTATCATTTTTTATCAATAAATTAAAAAATTATTCACTATTTCCCGCGATGTTATTGAAAATAAAATTCTCGGACACACATTTCGACAACGGGTCCGCATCGAACATGTCAAAGAGCAAAATATAGACTATTTTAAGCAAATCTTTAAATATATTATACAAAGTGATAAATAAAATCAACAAAAATATATCTAAAAGTAATCAAACTTACATCTAAGTTATTATTTCCATCGTTTTGTGCGATCGCGTGTAATGTAAGTCAAATGACATCTCGGCTTTCGTCGCCTTGAATTCTCGGCTCGGACACAACGTTTAATGCAAAAATATATGCATGAAAAATCTTTGTCACAGCTCGTAACCTAGCACGATACATTCGCGAAGTTCCATATTTTTAATATATATCGTGATTTCCTGCTTAAAACGTTCAGAATAACACGATTTAACAAAAAATCTTTCGCTAACTTCTGAAATTTATCAAACACGAGCTTTGTATCAAAGCTTGATTGGCTGCCTGAGGTCACGTGCTCAAAATTGACCAATCACGAAACTTGTAGCAGATTTCGGCAAGAAAGCGTCATTAGAAACAAATTTTAATCCAATGAAATCGCTTGTTATAACTACGGGGAAAAAACAGGCGATGTTACGAAAGCGCGATTACGAAATGAATGACCGCCGTGTTGTGACAGCAACTACATTTGTGTGACAGTTTAGCCTTAAATTGGATTGCCCACTAATTAAGAATATAAACTTCACTTGTGGTTCTCTTTTATTGCATGCATGCGCTTCTAAGATCAAAGGATGTATAGTGTGAAAAGTTAACTAGTTGAACAATCGTATTTCCGGGACTTGCCGCGGATATTTTCAAACAGATTATTAGAACTCCATTCAGCGATAAACCGTTGATTATGCAATGAGAAGCGTTATGTGCAAATAAACAACGAACAACAATACAATCATGTCTGTGTAAAACTCTCAGTATTAAAAGTGTACATAAATTTTGGGAGCCATGCGTTACCGCGCGTAATAACCGAAGTAGCGCTTTATCGAAGAGCGCAATAGCGAGCGATCACTGTACAATCATTACAGACGGGATGTTTTGCAAGTACAGTTGCTTCTTATATTCTTGCTGTTTCCACTTTAATTGTGTAACAGAATTGAATGAAGGGATGGTAACTAAAAGTAACAGTTAGACCTTTGCAGTATTTTGTTCCCAGTCACACTGGCGAAACAATACCCTGTGATGTCAGTGGTCATGGAGTGTGCTTAAGCTCCCCTCATCTCCACACGCAATGTCGTTGCAAAAGCCCAGCGATGTTGAGCGTTTTGTATATTTGTTTACTAAATGTAGCCTGTGGCAGCGCATTTTTTAACAAGTGCTCGTTTATGAAAGCACTTTTATTTTCAACATATTTTTTATTTCCTTTTTTTCTTAATCATGTTAATTCAAGTGGCGAAACCGCATTATCGGTGGTTCGAGAAGGGAGCTAACTCCGTTTGCCTAATCGAAAGTTCGAGGTGGGCCCACATTCGAAACTAAACGCACTTGTTGTTGAGAATATATACTACGTAAACAAACCCGCATAACGAACTCATAATTTGTCTATTTAAAATAAGTATTATGACTTATAATTGGATTAAAATGTACAAATAAGATGGCAATACAGCAGAACTCACTTCTACGAACATCGCCAAACTAGGTCGTGGGGTTATTAATATTCATGAGTTAGGCCTATTCCTTTTATGGAACAAGTTCTCGGAAACGTCTGAGGCTTGTATCATGTCCGAGATCAATTCAAGTGTAGACATATGTTCAGGCTTATATCGCCACCAACACTTATGATTAGATTGGTGTGTTATACTGGAAAAGGTAGAATGAGTGGTATTGCCTCTGTAATTTTAATTTGAAGTAGATTTAAGTTTCTTGCTTGGTAGCTATTTTTGTAAAACTAGTGTGGTCAGCTATGACGCAGTTATTCAAACTTCAAAGACTTTTGTGCCTTTTATGGAATTAATGTCACACGAAATGATTTATAAAGATATTTCCCATCAATATTACAAAATATGAATAATAATATAAAATGTCACATAATGACAAACGTGAGCCCAATAGCCTAAATGACTTCGTCAACCTCATGAAACCCAGCGATTTAAAAATGTGGGCCCACCTGTTTCGATCACTATAAGACGGGAACAATGTGGGCCCACATTTTAGAAAATGGTTATAAGTAAGCAAAGCTAATGAAGCTAGCGATTTTTTAATGTGGTCCCTCCTTTTGCAATCACTATGACGGAAGAACGTCTACCCACTAGGCGATATACAAATGTGGGCCCACTTGTTTCGATCACCATATATGACGGGAACATTGTGGGCCCACATTTGAGAAAATGATTATCAATATTTAAGTAGAATTTCGCGATTAATAAATGTGGTCCCTCCTGTTGCAATCAATATGACGGAAGAACGTCTGCCCACATTTAGGGATTGATTATCAGAACTAACGAAACAACCTAACGAAGCTAGGCGAAATACAAATGTGGGCCCACTTGTTTCGATCACCATAGATGACGGGAAAAATGTGGGCCCACATTTTAGAAAATGGTTATCACCACTAAACCAATCTTAGAAGATGTACTGATGGAAACATAAATATATAATGCATTCAAACATTTAATTACCTTACGTTTTACCTTAGGGATAAGCTGGGCATTTAATAGCTGGACCAACAACGTGCAGCGTGGGTGACGCCATTTCTCGCAAATACGAAAACAACGGAGATAGCTCCCGTTTGAAATTAGAGTGACCTCCCTTTCCCAATATGAACCACTGATAATGCGGTTTATAAAATGATTATAAATGGGAACTAATATACATATTGTTATTTTTTCTATTCATTATTTTTCATTAATATGCACAGGGATGAAGTTTATTAGGTATATTATAATGACACTGAACACATCACCTCTTTATGATCATTAGGGTTAGGTACCCGTTTAGTGGCTATCATAGATTCTATAGCGGCTCCAAATATTCATCACACAAAAAAGTCAAGAAAGCAGGATGAAATGGTTTAGTGTCAAATATTTTGGCTACTGGAAACTGTCCGCGAAATTCAGACAAGCCATATTCATCCGTTGTGTTTATTCAGTAATGATTCAAAAGCGGACTCAACCTTGTTGCGTCACTACACGTGCTTATTCCTCCTTCATTCCTTACTGTGATCCACATTATCCTTACAGTTTTCCCTACCACACTTTTATGTCACAAAATCATGGGACAAATGATTAAATACCATGTAATGCATGCGTACCTGCGAGTTCGATGTCTGACACCTGGAACTGTTTTCAGTTTGCGCCATATCGGCTCATTCCTCACCCCTCAGTAACTTGTAGATGACGGAATGGGACGAGTGTGCCAAATGGCATCGGGATCACTCGTAAGCGTCCGTAGACCAAAGTCACGAGACCCCATGCCTACCAGTAACCTTTGTAAGTGTCCGTCACCTATTCGATCCATTCCGTTCAGTTTTACAGTGTTAACGTAGCTCAGTTGGTTAGCTATCGGGCTAACCATCTGAAAGTCACGAGTTCGCGTCTGATGCATTATCACAAAAACTGGTTGCTTGTCTTTGAGACATGTGACCTACGTCAGAGATCCTCCTCATGAGAAGTTGTGGTACTGTATTCTAAAGGTGCTCTGATTATGATAAAGAAACGATGTCAAGTTCATTTGTGACAATGTACAAAATAAACCAGTGATAACCCAGGGTGAGTGAGTGAGATTTTATGCCACTTTTAGCAATATCACAGCATTGGTACATGAGAAATGGGCTTCACACACTGTACCCATGTGGGGAATTGAACCCGGGCCTTCGTCATGATGGGTGAGCACTTTAACCAGTTGGTTATACCACCACCCCCTAAACATGCTAAACCAGGAAAAACAACCATATATACTATCAATGACTGTAGGCTCCTGTACCCCATTTCAAGGAGACTTCATTGTAAACACAGTAACAGTAACCAGCTGATTAAACATTTGATTAGCTATTTAACAGGTATTAGTCAGTGTTAGAAATTGGCAATGGTCCTGTAGTCCTTGCCAAACTGCCCAATAGTTAAGGTATCATAAGGATGAATAGACATTTGCCATTTGTAAGTGGTTTGCTATATGTTATCATTGTAAGGACTAGTAGACTAAACATGTTAGTCTCTACCCCTGTATGAGTTCTTTTGGAGGAAGTTTGGTTTACAGTTACCTCACGTTATTGTGGTTATAATTCATGTTTTAATAAGAAGCAGGCATCACTCGGATACATTCATCAACTTATCACATATTTCTAACCGGGCAACATATCATTAATTGTGCATCTATGACAGATCTATAAGATTCATTTTGCTACCCTACTACTACTACTACTAGTAGAACTGAAGCAAATAGCCCCCATGTGAATTCTTGGGCACAACTGGTCCCCGATATTGTTTCATTGGTCACACCAATCGGACATGAGCCCTTGAAGAATTAATGAACTTACTTAAATATGATGGCAGAACAGGAAAATAAAAGTTGCAGTCATGAAAAATAATTTTACTCAGATAAACCTATCTGGATTAATATGGAAATCAGTGGGACACTGGGACATTGGCCAGATCACAAAGGCATAATGCCAATGACAGATATATTGCCAGTGCGTTCGAAGTTAGTAGTTATCTTTTCCCCTTATATGTCATCATGACTCAGGTGACAGAAATTAAATGAAAGATATTGCTGGTCTACACTGTAAGTGAAGAGGCCATCGATTTCTGGGCCGTCTCACGGTTGGACCACTCAACTTGGGTCAATCCCAATCCCACGACATTCCAGCAGACATGTTTTTTTGTGACGGCTAAGAAATTGAACGACAACTTGACTTTAAAAATTCGGCGTGATGTCCAGACTCGGTTTCTAATCAGTGTCCAAGGTTTCAAGCAACGCCAAGGTCTCAATCGCAAGATCAAGTACGAACACATCGACTCTCTTGAAATAACACACATAGTTAAATCAGACATAGCACACCAAATTGATATAATCACAATTAAAATAATTATCCCGTTACATACCCCTTTTCCAAGCCTCTTCTTTATTTCATACTTCTTTGTGATGTGAGGCTCTATTTCAGAATTCATATTTCCGAATATTCCGAGTCGAAGCGTCAACAGTCATGGATGCCGGAAGTCGCCATGATACAAATTACAGTAGGAGGTGAAGGTACAAAAAATAGTCCTTTCATAACATTAATTTACTGCACCAAAATAGCACAAACCACTAATATCGCATTAAATATGATTAATAACATATACTTTCATCTCGGATGTTATATTAAAAAATGAACTTGTGTCCTACTTTAGATGTGCATTTTTCTAGGCGACGAAATACGGTGTGAAGTAAGTAGGTCCAACACACATTTTGCCGCGTCATCAAAATGTGTGCATTTATGTGCATAACCATAGCAATGACCTTTCGATCGACCTCAAAACACTGGGGTACAATACTGAGACACGGAGCTTGGTGTGGCACACGCTCGCTTAATTAATATTGATGAAGAACATCTGGGGCAGATAAGATTGTAAATATTTGATAAGTACTTTAATTTGTATCCTATAATGCGGAATACGATGGATATTTTAATCTTAGAATCCGAATGTAACTGTATATCTAGTGTTGTGATATTTTGATGCCTACAGACGAATGTTGATCGATGTATAAATCAGAATATGCAAATAGAGGTTTTAGTTCTAAAAGTGTACATGCATTACAGTATCATTTGTATAAATGTGACCAGAGAATTAATTACACAGCGTTAACAAACAACTGTAATCTCAACGTTTATTTTCTAAAGCATGTTACGATATATGCTATCGCAAATTGCGATATGGTAGTAATAGATTGTCGTTGTATTCATTGTCACTTATTCCTAACACTTTCTTAAATATTGCATACCATTTTTGAGTTACTTGTGCATCATCCCAGTAACTTTTGAGAAAATGATTTCATTATGAGTGAGTGAATTTTGGGCTGATGTGAGCGACGATGCAGCATAGAGAACGAGTGAGTGAGTGAATTGGGTCCAACGCCGCTTTAAACAGTAGGCCTATTCCAGTTATATCACGGCATTTCAGCTTAATGAGGAGAAAAGAAGTGATTCAGGTCTCAGACGTTTATCACTTTGTTGAAAATCATGAGCACGGTTATGGCGCTGACAAACCAAGAGACTTAATCTAGGCGAACCGGGATTCGAACCCGCAATCATAGCTCCTGGAGTGCCTTCAGGGACAGCTTCCCGTGGGTTCGAATACCAGAATCGTTTGTCTGTCAGCACCACGTCCATGTCCGTTGTCCGTTGTCTTCATCAAAGTGGTAAATGCCTAAGACCTGTTTCTCTTTGAGCTTTTCTGTTACATTTCGCTGATACGTCGTGATATAACTTACTATTACCCAAAGCATCGTCAAACCAAGCTGCCTCCTTCTATCTTAAAGAAGACCGCCTCCGTGGTCTAGTGGATATATCGTCTGCCCGGATAGTGGAAGGTCGGTGGTTCGATCCTCGGTCGCGTCATACCAAAAGAGGGAGTTGGACTTAATGTCGCTTTGAACAGAATTCCAGTAAAATCACAGCATTTCAGCTGAATGTGAGACAAAAGCTCGAATTGATGCAGGCCTCAGACGTTTACCACTTCGGTGATACCCACGAGCTCGGGTATGGTGGTAACAAACCTAGAAACATAATCGGGTCGAACCGGGATTCAAACCGAGCATAGGTTTCTGGCATGCCCAAGAGACGCAACTCTTCACAGCGAATTTTGATGCCTTAGACGACTCGGCCACCCGTGCACCCCACGTGGTTGTTGAGGTTTTGCAGGTTCGTCTTCCTTGACACTCGGTACATGTCACTTCAGGGCAGTACAGGTAACTGTGACTGTCGGTCTGACACTTCATACAACCGTATCGAGGTGGCATGGTTGGTTTCATAGAATGCAGTGTGTGAGTGGCTTCGCTCTTGTTTTGTTTTTATAGGAGAGCCTTGACACACAATGCACATATAAAAAATGTTAACTCGTTTGGTACTTCTTGTTACCCTGCCTGGCGCTCTTGGGATTACACTATAAAACTGGCATTATTCTGGACTAGTACAAGCACACACACGCACGCATGCAGGTCGCTACATAAGGGCGTTAATCTTTATGCGAAGCTAAACCCCATTTCACCTCACATTATCTATCTTAAAGTTTAGTTATGTATTGTTTTCTATGGAACTCTATGTATCCAGTGGCATATTCTGGTGCAGCATGGCTTGGACAGGTTTAGGATGCACTCCACATATTATTTATCACAATTACTGCTTCCTCAGATTACTTGGTAATCTATGTCTGAATACTTCTGCATTAAGAAATAGAATAGAACAGGGGCCTTAGTCATTAACATGCTCAGAATTATACAATTTAAGAGCAGAATTGTTTTAAAACGTTCATGAGGGATGGGGACGGAGTGGGCAAGCAGTCAAAAGTGCCAGACCAGCAAGCCCAAGGTGCCGAGATCGTTTGACTGGGTTGTTATTCAGCCTTGGGTTGGTTGGTTGGGTGGTTTGTTGTTTAACGCCGCACTCAGCAATATTCCAGCTATATGACGGCGGTCTGTAAACAATCCAGTCTGGACCAGACAATCCAGTGATTGATATCATGAGCATCTATCCACGCAATTGGGATCGATGACATGCATCAACCAAGTCAGTGAGCCTGACCACCCGATCCCGTTAGTCGCCTCTTACGACAAGCATAGTCACCTTTTACAGCAAGCATGAAGACCTATTCTAAAGCGGATCTTCACGGGTCTCAGCCTTGGGACCAACAGTATTTACAGGTCTTTACAGTGTTGCCACTACCCCTAGCGTACAGTACATTGTACGAGGATGCGGTGGTCAGACTCGGTTGATTACATGTGTGGCATCATCCTACCCTGACGGTATGGGAGGTTGCTCATGATGTCAATCACAAGATTGTCTGGTCAAGACATGAATATACATGTTGCCGTCATATATAGCTTGAATAGTGTAGAGTGTGGCATTAAACGACAAACACAATCCTTGTTACCTGCTCCATACAGAGTGAGTGAATATGGTTTTGCTATATTCCAGCAATATAACGGCGGGGGACATAAGAAAAGGTATTCACACATTGAACCAATGGGACGAGCGAATGTTTAAACAACTTGGCCACCCCACCGCTCCATGCATGACTTTCTAACGATCGACTTTCGCCGTTAAACCTTGATGTTTTAGGGATACAGACGTCTATTAAACCGTAGACACATAAATACTCACAGCTTATTGAGTGACTGAGTGAAGATTCTTTAACGCCGCACACAGCCATAACAGCCAATACCAGGGAAGCCTGGAAATAATCGCGTCTGGACCAATAAGGCAACGTTCTATGCAATAGGGCGGTCGGGTAGCCTAGTGGTTAAAACGTTCACTCGTCACGTCGGAGACCCGGGTTCGATTCCCGACATGGGTACAATGTGTGAAGCCCATTTCTGGTGTCCCCCGCCGTGATATTGCTGGAATATTGCTAAAAGCGGCGTAAAACCATACTCACTCACTCACTTATTGATCACTTGCGGCATGCTTGTGCTTATGGCAAGTATATAAAACATAATGCCCACATGGTGAAGATACAGGTGCTAACATACCAAATCCATACGTCGCATGTGTCATACATTCAAAATTAGCCACATGTGACTTTAAAAATTACAGATATTCATAAATATGATACATTTTTGGTGCAAAAATAAATTTACAACAGATAGTTTGATGACACTGAAATATCGTTGAGGATAACTTAAATTCAATATGGTATACATCACAAATATTTGTGGTTGAACATACGCAATCGTTGTACATGTTGTATGTGTTATCAAGTAAGTGGATACTACATTTTTCAACGATGTTATTTCTAATATTGCTAAAAGCCGCGTTAAACCATACTCGCTCCTATGCAATAGGGGACGACACAATTACCGAGCCGACCGCCCGATCTATTTTAGTCTCACGAGGTTACTTTGCAGCATCTGTATATCCTGGAATCCACAAGGAGATTAGTATAAATAGAGCGGTGTTATATTGATTTTACGAAATACGAGTCAGACTTAATTGTATTTTCCGAGTACCATAATTAAATCAGCGTATATAATATCAATACACCGATTCCGAGTATGAACTAAAAATTACACATGTTCTGAGTACTGAGTCTTATTAAGATTAACTTGATCGTGATCGTGGTAATACTTTTCGGTAAGACTCATTTCCTAGTCCTTTTTTGGATTGTTTGCGGAACGGTCCTCAGCAAAATATGCTGGGCCCCGTCTTTCATAGCAGAATGGAGAGCATGCAGCGTATCACGCACAGAGAACCGGGAACCAAGCAATGTTACGTCATAGCAGTGTATGACGGCAGTGGATCTGGTCAGAAGGGCAGATGTTCTATGCTCGCCTTGTTAAGAGTGCCATATGGTACCGGTCTTGCGCTAGTTAAGGAGTGGTTTGGAGTGATTGGTTGTTGAATGGGCTTATGTATATCTAACGAGCAGCATTTAAGTCAAACAAAGCTAAAAGCGTTACTCTTGCTGCGCGAACCAACAGTGGAACCAGTTTAGAAATTGTAGCATTCGTTATCACTTTCTGCAGCTGCAAGAAGACTCGTCCCCATTCGTGACCACACCACTCGTCAGCAAACACCACCAACTCCCTCCATGCAGATCTGTTTAACCCGCGAGATCACGCACTCTGGTCCTATACTAAACAACGTCCGGGAGCGTCCGGGCAACGCCATGGAGCGTCCGAGAACGTCCCGGGGAAAGATGCTACCAAAGAAGTGTATTCTATATCATTGTGTTCTTGTATTAATTATAACAAATTGCCAAACCCCTCCTCCCTTGAATCACGAATACCATCTAATTTTTTACCCTAATTGCTCGCCTATGAATCCCGAATACTATTTGACACAAATCTCAAAAGCATTGAGAAAAGGGGTGCGATTTGAAGTTTGATGTTTTATTGACTGACTGAACTTCATTTTTTAACTCCCGAACGTCTGATGAAACCTCTCGGACGTTCCCGGACGTTAAATAGTAGGACCCACGCACTCTGATCGGTATATCTCAATTCAGCGGATTGACGCAAGTCTATCTTGGAGTACCCATGCAGTGTGTCATTTCTCCATTCTATTTACCAACATAGAACGGAAATATATTGCCCTCGATTGATGGACAACTTGCTGGTGAACTTACTGGAATATAGGTAAAAACGGCCCAAAACAACAGTCACTTACAAGAAAATACTCCATGGCGGAAAATATGGTGGTCATTAAAGATATATTTTCCGGGTACATGTTCTACAATATTTGACCGATATATAATTCCCAGAAAATATATCTTATATATTACCAAGAACCTAGGCAAGTCTAGATCAAACTATCCCCCCAAGTGTATAATTTCCTTATGAAAACAGCGGAGGAGGAAATGTTCTTTTGAAAAAAAATACAATTATTTTAAAGAATGTTTTCATAAACTAAGTGTTCTTGTATATAGGCGATAACAATTATTTGTGTTTTTAGATTTGTATACATAGGTATTATCATGATTATTGGAATTCGTAAAGTGATTTAGAGCGTGAGCTGCAATTTGCTTCGTTAGAAAACGTATACATGGTCTACTTATTGTATATTTAAACAAAATATGGATGATTAAACCCTCTAAGACTTTCGAGAAGGAAAAGTTTCAAATCCCAACAATATTTAGTCAGTGGTGTACTAGAATCTGTCGGTTTAATTACAATAATAGCTAAATTAAAAATATGAAAACAATAAAGGACACATCGTTTTATACAAAAGAGTGTGTCCTCCTTATCCTGACACTGGCGAAAACCCCTCGGTACAAATGATCGATTCTTGTGTCAAGGAACCATATACATGTATTATGTGTGCCCTTTGTTGTGACCAAGTCCTATATTTATTTATTACCTCAGGGAGGTTTTATACAGTCCACCAGTGCAGTTTTGTAACTTCACCGGTTTCTACCGGTGCTTCTGTTCTTTGTTCCCTGTATTTATATGCAGGCCCAACGGGAGTTGAGACCCAGTCGACGTAGATATTGCAGGTGCACGTGTGGAACGTGAGTCTAAGAGTAAGATTGTATGAAATATTGCCTGTCGTGTTTATTGCCTCGCAAGTCCGTTTCGCAGTTCAGTACAAACCCACACTGAAACAAAAAGACGTTGTAAACAGCCTCAATGTTATTGTTGACTGAAAGCCGTGAGAGCGCTAGTCGGAATCAGCACTAGTCCCAAATGGCGCTTTCCCAGTTGATTAGATATTTTATCTTTGAGTATTTCGTGATATTGCTTGCATTCATTATTAATAAGACTATTAAATTTAACTATTGAATGTTAACACGTTTCGCGATTTCTCAACAAAATATTTGTCAAGAATTGATGAAAAACTAATTGAAATTGATATGTTCTAGAATTACTAGAGTGTTTTTTTTAATGTAGACATTGATACGTGAATTCTTTTTGGGGGGCTTTAGTTAAATCCACAAATATTAAATAAAAGTAAAATAGTGAAATTAATATATGACAACAAAACCTAATAAAGTAACCATGATAATATACCAGAGACCATATAATAGAGGGACGGCCCTCACCAACAGTTTATCACTAACCATCAGCGCTACTGTCTGGCATGTAACTGATACACCCCGACACCCTGCTGTTAACCTCCCTGTACCGCTGCAGATGCGCAATAGATGCGCAGACATTCACGACTGACCATCCTGGTAACCACGTAAACAATATTACATAATATCCGGGGTAAGAGTTAATTCCCTTATCCGACTACGACCAGCGACAATCCAATAAAAGAACGTCTCTTAGCGGATTACAAAGATGTTTGTATGATATCTCTCATTAGCACATGTCAGTTGGCTGCAAATTATTTGCTGAACATGTGTGTCTTCCGGGACATTTATTTCAATTTAAATATCTCATTTTATTCTGCAATTGTTAACTATTATAAATAAACAAATATACCAAATCTACTATGAACGCCACAGAAAACTACGATCCGGTAAATTGCACAGGAACTCAGGAAGTGTAAATAAAACTCATTCAGAAGCAGGGAAGACACTTGTAACATATCACCATATTCCCGATGTTCACAAAATATATCTCCAGATTAACTTCATATCTTATGATAAGTCCAGACTAGATTTACTTGCAAAAATGCATGATCACCGACTGGTGTAAATGCTTTACTATTAGCCAGAAATTTTTTTACGCCATATTAATGTTTTTATTTCATGTAAATTCGCTACTATTTTATAATGCTAATAGTTCCAATGAATTAAAAATACACATTAAACTACGAGCGTTGTTAAATGAATTTTCAATGTGTCTGACAATGGGCTTCGAAAGAATCAAATGTTATTGGTTAATGCCAGTTTGGGGCTAGCAGTGATAATGGGGTTTGCCGGAGCGAGATAAGTTTGACACCTTCGACCTTGTTGTCTGGAACTTCTCTCCCGACGACTGCCGATATAATCCTTCTTTTTTCTTAGCATTTACAAAGCAAATGATAATTTTATAATACAAATATTTCATGTAACAGATTTTTATTTTTGTATGATGTTTTCACTGTTGTGTAAATACACAAAGTAAGTAGTACCTTCATCATATTTACATTATTATGATTGGGCCTAGGCCAAGATCATTTTGCTCATAATCAATATTTACACGGCATAAAATAAATAATTGATTAAATCATGATCAATACAGACAAAATCTTCAGAAGATAACAAATATGTTATGGTAATTTAACTTAAAATATGTGACGTAAAATATGGCCTTGCGCCAAAAATCATACAAAAAAAAACTACCGATCGTACCAAAATAACTTTGGTACCAAGCCAAAGGGGAAATCGTGATGAACTATTTAATTCAGGACCGATGATAGGAACACATTCGTCTGAAAGCATGCGAAAATTAAGAGTTGTGGTGTAATTATTTTGGGAAAAGTCAGATTTAGTCCCATTTCTGGAGTCAAAATCTGAAATATCGCATCCGCCCTAAATTTGTAAATGGCACTAAGCCAATTTTTAACATATTTCCTTTTTATACACCTTGGTAACCAAGGACTTTCATTGCGAATTAGAGGCCGTTATTGAAAATCAAAATCTGCACTTTTGCCGATTTTACCTGTGCGCTATTGTTCTCTCGGACAAAGACAAAGCGTGATCACAGTCATCAAATACAGTGACAACGACATGCTTTAGGGCACCAACAAATCTCAGTTGTAATGTTAACAATGTTAAGAAATACATGAGTGTAATTTTGTATTGTAAAATATATCTTTTGCATGGGGGAAAAAAAGGCGACAACGATGACTGCAGTGAACGCGTTTCTGCTCGCTTCCGGACAGGCTGCGCAGTACAAGCCGTAGCACTGATGGTTTCGCGCATAGGCTAGAGGGCCGTCCCTCTATTATATGGTCTCTGAATATACTAAAAAAAACTGCAAAGGTGATTTTAGATGTATACTTTATATACCATATAAATAATCAACAGATGGTAATCAATCATTCAAAATTGGCGCACATCATTGTCATTGACCCAGGTTCCACATGGAACACATGGAGCAGTAGATTTTCAAGGTGAAGGTCATCTGTTCTCAACATCTTGAATGGCCACCATAAGATGACTAGAAGCAGTCAGGTCCCAAATTGTGACCTGGGCAATGATCACATACTCTGCCTGCAGTGCATGCGCCAACTTCAGGGGATCCGTGGTTGTTGTTGACGTGCTCATAGTCATTGATCCAGTGCATCTCATAAATGAGACTATGACTATGCATATATAATGTTGACTGATGTTGTTGAAAAATGTGTTTCAGGTGATGGAGATCCAACTTCGAGATCGCAGCAACAAGGTGCGTTATGAATTCCGACTGGTGGCCCGCGAGGTCACCCATGAGGTCTATGATGTCCCGGAGGACAATCAGGTCCTCTTTGCCTACCAATTTGAGCGCCAGACCCGAGGTCCTTCACACGTACTGGAGCTGGCACAGCTGTCAGGAGGTGGTCGGAGACACCAGGTGGCATGTGGTGCCTTGTCCTTTAGCCTGGCTGATCGATCCATGGATGAAGCAGGTTCCATGTTTGACAGTAGCTTCTACCACATGATCACTTTCCTGTTTGTCAAACCTGAGCACCAGAGGACAGGAGTAGGCCGACAGCTGATGCAGGCGGCCCTCAAACATATGGCAGCCCACGAGCCTAGTAGGCCAGTCAGAGTGGAGAGTGCGCTTGGAGCAGCCTACTTCTTCGAAAAACTTGGCTTTGTTCGAGTTGGTGAACCGTTTGAGACTGTGTGTTCGGGCTCCAGATTGTTCAGATCTATGGTTAATATGGAGCATGAAGCTCCAAGATGTGACCCTTGAACAGCGTATGTTCACAGATGAAGAGATTATGCCAATAGTGAAATGTTGCTCAAGACAGCATGCAGTCACGGAGGAAGAGGTTGTTAGATGTTGCTCAGGAGAGCATGCTGTTACGGAGGAAGAGGTTGTTAGATGTTGCTCAACACAGCATGCAGTCATGGAGGAAGAGGTTGTTAGATGTTGCTCAAGACAGCATGCAGTCAAGGAGGAAGAGGTTGTTAGATGTTGCTCAAGACAGCATGCAGTCATGGAGGAAGAGGTTGTGCGATGTTGCTCAGGAGAGCATGCAGTCACGGAGGAAGAGGTTGTTAGATGTTGCTCAAGACAGCATGCAGTCACGGAGGAAGAGGTTGTTAGATGTTGCTAAAGACAGCATGCAGCCACAGAGGAAGAGGCTGTGCGGTGTTGCTCAGGACAGCATGCTGTCATGGAGGAAGAGGCTGTGCGATGTTCCTCAGGACAACATGCTGTCACGGAGGAAGAGGCTGTGCGATGTTGCTCAGGACAACATGCTGTCACGGAGGAAGAGGTTGTTAGATGTTGCTCAAGACAGCATGCAGTCACGGAGGAAGAGGCTGTGAGATGTTGCTCAAGACAGCATGCAGTCATGGAGGAGGAGGCTGTGCGATGTTGCTCAAGACAGCATGCAGTCACAGAGAATGAAGTTATATGGTAGCTGGAGACAGCAGGAAGCCTGGGTGTAGAGGTTGTTGTTGAGGACAGTGAGATTGTGGGATCACTGAGGGATAGTATGACGATGATGAGGAAGCTGAGGCAGATGACGTCAGTGTAAGCATGGGGGGAACACTGATAAACTGTTTTGTCCATAATAATGTTACTTCATCAAGGATTGGTGGAATGGTTTTAATCACATTGTCTGCTGTGACAAATATATTTTCAAACTGTTACGTACATGATGACACTGATGAAATGAATATTATCAAATTGCTTTGAAATACAGATTTTCATATTGCTGATGTTCTATAAACATGGTGGAAGTTTGTATATTTATGTTGGTCATTATTTCATTCATGTCTTTTGGCATAGATGCCTGGCATTGCCTGCACAAGTTTGTCATCCCTACCATGTGCAGCTGTCGTGATGGTGTCATCAGACTGTGCCCCTGTCTCGTGTGGGTGTTGGGGATGATGTCACCTCATCATCAGCATGTGCTCCCCCTTGTCATCAAGTTGAATAACTCGGTCACACATCTAAGCTCAAAACCAAATCGCACATAGAAGCTTCAGACCACAGTCACACATCCATGCTCCAGACCCCAGTCACACATACAAGCCTCAGACCACAGTCACACATCCAAGCCTCAGACCACAGTCACACATCCAAGCCTCAGACCACAGTCACACATCCAAGCCTCAGACCCCAGTCACACATCCAAGCCTCAGACCACAGTCACACATCCAAGCCTCAGACCACAGTCACACATCCAAGCCTCAGACCACAGTTACACATCCAAGCCTCAGACCACAGTCACACATCCAAGCCTCTGACCCCAGTCACACATCCAAGCCTCAGACCACAGTCACACATCCAAGCCTCAGACCACAGTCACACATCCAAGCCTCAGACCCCAGTCACACATACAAGCCTCAGACCACAGTCACACATACAAGCCTCAGACCACAGTCACACATCCAAGCCTCAGACCACAGTCACACATCCAAGCCTCAGACCACAGTCACACATCCAAGCCTCAGACCACAGTCACACATCCAAGCCTCTGACCCCAGTCACACATCCAAGCCTCAGACCACAGTCACACATCCAAGCCTCAGACCACAGTCACACATCCATGCTCCAGACCCAAGTCACACATACAAGGTCAAGACCACAGTCATGACCCATTAAGATCCGGGGTAGAATAGGTCTTCAGCCACCCATGCTTGCAATAAACAGTGACTGTGCTTGTCTTAAGAGATCAGGTGGTCAGATTCACTGACTTGGTTGATGCATGTCATCATATCCCAATTGCGTAGATCGATGCTCATAATGTCAATCACTGGATTGTCAGGTCCAGACTCTATTATTTACAGACGGACATCATATAGCTGGGAAATTGCTGAGTGTGGTGTTAAACAACAAATGAACAAGCAAACCACAATCACACGTACAAGCTCCAGACCACAGTTACAGACCCAAGCTTCAGACCCCAGTCACAGACCCTAGCTTCAGACCCCACTCACAGACTCAAGCTTCAGACCCCACTCACAGACTCAAGCTTCAGACCCCAGTCACAGACTCAAGCTTCAGACCCCAGTCACAGACTCAAGCTTTGGACGCCAGTCACAGACTCAAGCTTCAGACCCCAGTCACAGACTCAAGCTCCAGACCCCACTCACAGACTCAAGCTTCAGACCCGAGTCACAGACTCAAGCTTCAGACCCCAGTCACAGACCCTAGCTTCAGACCCCAGTCACAGACCCTAGCTTCAGACCCCACTCACAGACTCAAGCTTCAGACCCCACTCACAGACTCAAGCTTCAGACCCCAGTCACAGACTCAAGCTTCAGACCCCAGTCACAGACTCAAGCTTTGGACGCCAGTCACAGACTCAAGCTTCAGACCCCAGTCACAGACTCAAGCTCCAGACCCCACTCACAGACTCAAGCTTCAGACCCGAGTCACAGACTCAAGCTTCAGACCCCAGTCACAGACCCTAGCTTCAGACCCCACTCACAGACTCAAGCTTCAGACCCCACTCACAGACTCAAGTTTTCAGACCCCAGTCACAGACTCAAGCTTCAGACCCCACTCACAGACCCTAGCTTCGGACCCCAGTCACAGACTCAAGCTCCAGACCCAAAACACAGACCCTAGCTTCAGACCCCACTCACAGACCCAAGCTTCAGACCCCAGTCACAGACTCAAGCTTCAGACCAAAGTCACAGACTCAAGCTTCAGACCCAAGTCACACGTCCACGCTTCAGACGCCAGTCACAGACTCAAGCTTTCAGACGCCAGTCACAGACTCAAGCTTCAGACCTCAGTCACACGTCCAAGCTTCAGACGCCAGTCACAGACCCAAGTTTCAGACCCCAGTCACAGACTCAAGCTTCAGACCCCAGTCACAGACCCTAGCTTCAGACCCCATTCACAGACCAAAGTTTCAGACATCAGTCACAGACTCAAGCTTCAGACCCCAGTCACAGACTCAAGCTTCAGACCCCAGTCACAGACCCTAGCTTCAGACTCCACTCACAGACCCAAGTTTCAGACCCCAGTCACAGACTCAAGCTTCAGACCCCAGTCACAGACCCTAGCTTCAGACCCCAGTCACAGACTCTAGCTTCAGACCCCACTCACAGACCCTAGCTTCAGACCCCAGTCACAGACTCAAGCTTCAGACCCCAGTCACAGACTCAAGCTTCAGACCCCAGTCACAGACTCAAGCTTCAGACCCAAGTCACACGTCCACGCTTCAGACGCCAGTCACAGACTCAAGCTTTCAGACGCCAGTCACAGACTCAAGCTTCAGACCTCAGTCACACGTCCAAGCTTCAGACGCCAGTCACAGACCCAAGTTTCAGACCCCAGTCACAGACTCAAGCTTCAGACCCCAGTCACAGACCCTAGCTTCAGACCCCATTCACAGACCAAAGTTTCAGACACCAGTCACAGACTCAAGCTTCAGACCCCAGTCACAGACTCAAGCTTCAGACCCCAGTCACAGACCCTAGCTTCAGACTCCACTCACAGACCCAAGTTTCAGACCCCAGTCACAGACTCAAGCTTCAGACCCCAGTCACAGACCCTAGCTTCAGACCCCAGTCACAGACTCTAGCTTCAGACCCCACTCACAGACCCTAGCTTCAGACCCCAGTCACAGACTCAAGCTTCAGACCCCAGTCACAGACTCAAGCTTCAGACCCCAGTCACAGACTCAAGCTTCAGACCCAAGTCACACGTCCACGCTTCAGACGCCAGTCACAGACTCAAGCTTTCAGACGCCATTAACAGACTCAAGCTTCAGACCTCAGTCACACGTCCAAGCTTCAGACGCCAGTCACAGACCCAAGTTTCAGACCCCAGTCACAGACTCAAGCTTCAGACCCCAGTCACAGACCCTAGCTTCAGACCCCATTCACAGACCAAAGTTTCAGACACCAGTCACAGACTCAAGCTTCAGACCCCAGTCACAGACTCAAGCTTCAGACCCCAGTCACAGACCCTAGCTTCAGACTCCACTCACAGACCCAAGTTTCAGACCCCAGTCACAGACTCAAGCTTCAGACCCCACTCACAGACCCTAGCTTCAGACCCCAGTCACAGACTCAAGCTTCAGACCCCAGTCACAGACTCAAGCTTCAGACCCAAGTCACAGACTCAAGCTTCAGACGCCAGTCACAGACTCAAGCTTCAGACCCCAGTCACAGACTCAAGCTCCAGACCCCAGTCACAGACCCTAGCTTCAGACCCCACTCACAGACCCAAGCTTCAGACCCCAGTCACAGACCCAAGCTTCAGACCCCAGTCACAGACTCAAACTTCAGACCCCAGTCACAGACCCTAGCTTCAGACCCCAGTCACATACCCTAGCTTCAGACCCCAGTCACAGACCCTAGCTTCTGACCCCAGTCACAGACTAAAGCTTCAGACCCGAGTCACACATACAAGCCCCAGACCCCAGTCACAGACTCAAGCTTCAGACCACAATCGCAGACCCAAGCTTCAGACCCGAGTCACACGTCCAAGCTCCAGACCCCAGTCACAGACTCAAGCTTCTGACCTGAGTCACACATACAAGCTCCAGACCACAATCGCAGACCCAAGCTTCAGACCCGAGTCACACGTCCAAGCTCCAGACCCCAGTCACAGACTCAAGCTTCTGACCTGAGTCACACATACAAGCTCCAGACCCCAGTCACAGACTCGAGCTTCAGGCCCGAGTCACAGACTAAAGCGTCAGACCCGAGTCGCACATACAAGCTCCAGTCCCCAGTCACAGACTCAAGCTTCAGACCCGAGTCACACATACAAGCTTCAGACCCCAGTCACACATACAAGCTCCAGTCCCCAGTCACAGACTAAAGCGTAAGACCACAGCCACATGTCCAAGCTCCAGTCCCCAGTCACAGACTCAAGCTTCAGACCCGAGTCACACATACAAGCTTCAGACCCGAGTCACAGACCCCAGTCACAGACTCAAGCTTCAGATCCAAGTCACACGTCCACGCTTCAGACGCCAGTCACAGACTCAAGCTTTCAGACGCCAGTCACAGACTCAAGCTTCAGACCTCAGTCACACGTCCAAGCTTCAGACCCGAGTCACACATACAAGCTTCAGACCCGAGTCACAGACCCCAGTCACAGACTCAAGCTTCAGATCCAAGTCACACGTCCACGCTTCAGACGCCAGTCACAGACTCAAGCTTTCAGACGCCAGTCACAGACTCAAGCTTCAGACCTCAGTCACACGTCCAAGCTTCAGACGCCAGTCACAGACTCAAGCTTCAGACGCCAGTCACAGACTCAAGCTTCAGACGCCAGTCACAGACTCAAGCTTTCAGACGCCAGTCACAGTCATATGACGGCGGTCTGTAAATAATCGAATCTAAATAACCAGACAGTCCTGTGATTGACATGAACATCGATCCACGCAATTGGGATACGATGACATGCATCAAACCAAGATAGCGAGCCTGACCACCAGATCCCGTTAGTCGCCTCTTATGACAAGCATAGTCGCCTTTTACGAGTGGAAAGGTAGACGTGTGAGAGAGGACACGGGCGTAGAGGCGGGCAGAGGGAGAATGAGGCACACATCTGAGAGTAGGGCGTAGAGACGGGCAGAAGGAGAAAGAGGTACACCCAAAGGGAGAAGACGGGCATAGAGGCGGGTAGAGGGAGAAAGAGGCACTCATCTGAGAGGGGACACGGGCGTAGAGGCGGGTAGAGGGAGAAAGCGGTACACACCTGAGAGAAAACACGGGCGTAGAGACGGGTAGAGGGAGAAAGAGGCACACATCTTAGAGGGGACACGGGCGT